ATGGAACTCACAGGGAATGAATTATTATTATTAAAAAAACTATTAAAAAAAAACGGAAACAATTTGTAAAAATAGATTCATCCTTATCGTCAAATTTATTAAATATATCATGCGGAGTGCCACAAGGATTGATACTAGGACCCTGGCTTTTTTAATTTTTATTAATGATCTCTATAAAGCATCAAATTTAACAACAATTATGTTTGCCGATGACACAAATCTTTTTCTAACTGACACTGACTTACCAACATTATTTAACAAAATGAATAGAGGAACTCATTAAAATCGCTAACTGATTTAAGTCTAACAAATTATCAACAAATATCAAAAAAAACTAAATGGATCCTCTTTTATCCAGATTCAAAAAAAATCTACTTTCGATTATCGATATCGATTATTATCGATATTATCGATTATACCTTCCTTGTATATTGATAATAGTGAAATAAAGAGAGCTAAAGTTACCAGTTGGGTGTTTGCATTGATGAAAACCTCACATGGAAAAATCATGTTAACAATCTAAACAATAAAATTGCTAGAAGTATAGGAATGCTATATAAATCACGAACTTTTTTAAGTAAGTACACTTTAATTCAATTATATTACTCATTTATTCATTGCCATATTAATTATGCTAATACTGCATTAATTATGCTAATACTGCATTAATTATGCTAATACTGCATGGGGTGGTGTAAATATAAGTTTACTAGAAATTCTTTATCGTCAACAGAAACATATTGCACGTCTTATAAATTTTAAAGAACGTTTTACTCATGCCAGGCCTCGTTTACTTAAAATGAATATTCTTAATGTATATTACCTTAAAGTTTATAATATTCTTTACATTATATATAAATGTAAAACTAAAACTTCCCCTTATCCTTTTTATAATTTATACTCACATAAAATATCTTTGAAATGAAAACTTTACCCAATTTTCACTTACAAATTTTCGCTTACAAATTTTGGTAGATCTTGTATCTCTTATCGAGGAGCTTTTTTATGTCGAGGAGCTTTTTTATCTGTTATCGAGGATAAGTTAATCTGTTATCGAGGATAAATTATCTGTTTAAGTTTTTTATGGAATAAAATAGTTTGAAATATTTTGATTTTACTAAATAGTGGAATTTTTTTTTTGAAACACATTCAAAAAAAAACTTAAACAGATAATTTTATCTATCGATAATGTACTCTTATATTTTTAATTTTTATAAAGTAAAATTTTTAAAATTCAATTCTTAGTATTTACTTATGTTATTTATCTTTTACGTTTATCTATTTTTACTTTCGAAATATTTAACAAAATAAATGTAACGATGTAGTTGAAAAACAAAGCGGTTCTCGACGACAACACCTTAAGGTCTTCTATTATTATATTATATTATATTATTGAAATTATTATGATTGTAAAACGAGTAATATATTGTATAACATTTAAAGAACAAAAAAATTAAAAAAAAAAAAAAAATTTACTAAATTAAAATTTTTTGGAAAAAAAGGTTGCTCAATAAAGTTATCATTGCGTATAATATTTTTTTATCTTTTGACAAATATAAAATATAAAATGAAACTGGGGAAAAGTTAGTTTTACATTTAACATAAAAACAAAGAACATTATACTTCCTGAAGGTAAGGTGTTTTTCAAAAAATTGCCGTTATTATTATATACAGTTATTAAATTTCCGGTTAAAATAATCTTCTGGAATTTTCTAATGTTTAATAGAATATTCCTCATTTAATTCTATCCCAGAACTACCAGCATATAATTTTTTTGTTTACTTTTGCTTATTAACTGGAGAACATTATAACTTTGATTTAAAAAATATGCTTTTAGAAAATTTATGGGTTTAAATACTTCGTAAAAATGTTCTAGCTCTTTTAATCTATGAATATCTCCAAATAAGGACTTTTTTTTAACTTTATTTAAAACGGTTTGAAGCAATCCGATTGAGCAAAATTCAAAAAAGTTTAAAAATAGTCTTAAATTCTGTATAAACAAAAAAAAACTTTAAAATACAATCAGAAGTTGTTCTATTAAACAAAAATAAATTTTCAACTATTTAATTTTACTTAAAATAAAAGTTATTAAGTTGTTATGAGATAAGAATAGGTTTGTATCGTCTGAAAACATGGTTGTCTTAAACCTGAATAAATTATAGAGATTTTTTATCACATCCGCGAATGAGTTTTTTTTTTCGAAAAATTACCTAATATTATAATCTTAAAGATTTTTAGGTATATTTTTTTTTATAGAGAAATTAAAGTTTAGACATATGTCATTCGTTTTTTTAATACAATTTGCTCATTAAAAATTATAAAGAAATTGAAATTCTCTTTATTTAAAAAACTGTTCTTTTTCTTGAAGTCGTCAGCTTGTCATATCAGGCTGATTACTTGAGTATCAATATAGTCAGAGGCGATTTTACGGAGTTAAGGGGGCTGGGAGAGTTGGTTATAGTTGCTTATTTATGTCTCTTATGTGGGCTTTACTAGAAAAAAAAAATTTAAAATACAATTGTAAAAAAAATAAAAGCTTACACAAATAAAAAACTAAGAATAATGGAATTCAATGTTCATTAAGAAAAAAAAATTATCTAGTTTGAAAGTTTTAATTTTTAATAAAAACTTAAAAGAGTTTAAGAATTTTACCGTACTCTTTGCTTTATGGTAAAAATTGATTTCATATATATTCATCATTTGCATGTATTTCAATAATGGTTTTGCATGTTCATTTTATTTTCTTATATATAAGTATGCATGTATGTTTTTGATGAAAAAATATTTTTTTAAGTTTTCCAATCTCCAATCATTGCAATTTTTTGCAAAGCATCATTATTTGATATAAGTATAAACATAAAAATGTTTGGAGAATCTCACATCAGTCTACTTACACACAGTGACATCCGTCAATATAATGTAATATAATTGTTTTAAATTATATGTATACAGTTTTTTTTGTTTCATTCACATAGCACTTGAATATATTATGTATTATAAAAAAATATTTATATTTGAGTTTTTTCTCTAGTGAAACCCAACCCTCAACGAGACCTTTGTGTTTAGTCCATTCCATATAATTAGTTTTAGTATGAGTTTTCTTTTTATACAAGTCAGCTATGTATATGTCTCCGCAACTATGTATATGTCTCCGCAGTTAAATTGGGAGTGTGCAAACATCAATTTTTTTAACAACAACAAAAAAGACTTTTTATAATCTTATATATTTGGAGTGTGGAAACATCAATTTTTTCAACAACAACAAAAAAAAGACTTCTTACAATCTTCTTTAAAACTTATAGAAGCAAATAGAAGTAATAAAGTAATGCGTGGCTAAAAATTAGTTATATATATGGTACTACCTTTCTATAATTTTAAAACAAATTTTGAAAGTACTTTTTCGTTACGCCCGTAACTAAATAATTTTTTAAAACCTTGTAAATTGTAGCCAGTCGCAGTGGGCCAGAATTCACTTTTACTGGACAAAACTAATAACTTGTCATATAAAAAAAAATTTAAGAACCATTTTTGCACTGTTCACTAATGTGAGAATTGCGGTTTCAATGGTGACATTAGTTTTCATTTTGGGTTGCTATGGATACTTTAATTACTTAGCAACCATATACTTAATAACCTTAGCAAATATAAACTGAAAGAAGTAATAACTTTATTGGACTACTCCCATAATTATCACATAGAGTATTTAAAACGCATGGTGTTTAAAACTGTTATTGTACATTTTATTGCATACTCTTAATACATATTTTATCAAATATTATATAAGTACACATAAACTGATGCTTATGTGTATGTTAGAAAAACAATCCGTCAACACCCAATACCTACATATGGATAGTGAAGAAACGTCTTTCTAATATTTTGTGTGGCCACCTTTGATTTTATTTAGTGCTTGAACTAGATCTGGCATACCTCTAATCAACTTACCTTACATGTCCTTGATCTCATTATTATGACTCAGATCATCATTATGAGGGCTGGTTTGTTGGTCATTGGCACTTCATGGATTTTATCCTTAAGCTGATACCAAAGTGATTCTTAGGATTCATGTCAAGGGAATTCCCTGCCCATGGGAGTACCTCAATATCCTTTTTTTGTCATCCAATCGTAAACCTTGCGTGCAGTGCGGCATGGCGCTGAGTCTTGCTGAAAAATACAGGCACTGTCCTAGAACCAGGCACGTATTTCATTGTTCCTTGTACAATATACAGACTCGTTCTTTGGGTGGATATTGCACCCCACACCATAATCTTCGTGCGGAATTATACCGTCTGATATAGGCAATTTTCTATGAACTCCACTTCTGGTCTTCTTTTTACAGTCTTAGCTCTGCTATACTTGGATGGTAGACTCATCTAAAAGTTGACTTTTAACCAGTCCTCATATTTCTAGTCTTTATTCCAGGCGTGCTAGCTTAATTTTCTACTAAGCCGAGGGTTTTTTATCCAGTAATCTTTAACTAACAGTCATCCCACATGTTTTCACAACTTCCTCTTCCAAAATAGCAGGAATTTTTTCTACACAAAACCCTTGAGTCGGACTGGCACAGCTTTACAAGTTTCCTGCCTGTCCGTGGAGTTGTTTTTATCATATTTTCCAATTCTCTTTGTCTCAAGGCCAATTGCCTTATCAAGTTCTTTCTTCATTCTGCACACACACATTTTGCATGAGGTTGATACCTTTATTTTTTTTGCTACTTCCTTCTGGCTAATTTTTGTGTTTTTCAGTAAAACTTAAATTTGGCCCTTTTTCTTTTTTCTTTTTTTTTTTCTCTTTTTTTTTTTTTCTGGGGCTCAGATCATTGTTTTTCTCATCATCTAGAAAAAAATTTCTCAAAAAATGTAATAATAAAAAATTCATGATTCACGACGAAACTGAGTGCCTAACGGATACCAGGTTGAAGTTTGAAGTCTTTACACTGGATCCCTAGTTAAAATTAATCATTAAAAAAAAAGATAGCACAAAATGATAAAAAACACAGATTTGATTTCATACATCCTAAATTATATTTAGCCTAGCAAATGAATTTTAACTTTAAAAAATATAATTAACAAGTCTTTAATTTCGATGACCCAAATAAGTATCTTAATATACGGTCCACCAACCAAGCACTAACTAAATCAATTATTACCACTCGACAGAACGTCATTCGGAACTAAAAATAAAAGTATGAAATGTTTGAATATGAAATGTTCTGAAAAAATAAGTATTTTTTTGTCATTAAAAAAAATATACCTGTTCTGGAAGATCAACTATTTGGAATTGATTAGAAATATCAGGTATCCAACCCATAAGCAAAATAAAAAGAGAACCCGCCGAAACGCATAAGCTATAAAAAAGCGGTCTGTTTTCAACCAAGTCTTCCATAAAAGGACGCCCCTAAAACAAACGTGTAAATAAAGGATTAGATTCTCTTAAATAAAGGTTTTTTTGTATTAATTGCAAAAGTAAAGACATTTTACCTTATAATTTATAGCAAACGTAGACAGCTGCATAGACATAGATATAATGTATACAACGCTGTTGATAACGTTAGGTTCAAATTTCTTTTCTAAATCAACATACTCCTCCCTAAAGAAAAAGCGTTATCTACATAGAGTGTTGCTAAAAAAGTAGTACTACGTCACCGATTATCGAGCCTTGTAAACATATACTAATATGGCTTTATAATATATGTAAACATGGTAATATAAATATGTATTTAAAACTTTTTTAATAGCCTAATAGCATTTTGAATTTAAAAAAATAAAAATAAAGAGTATATCTATAATGTACAAAGACAAAGTTAAAAATAAATCATAAAAAAAAAAAAATCTGATTGCTTTTATATATAATTATTATTTGATAAGTTTGCTGATTTATCTTTGATAAAACACGTTTGATAAAACAAGTTTGCTGATTTATCTATTATATTAATATTTAATTTTTGTTAAAGTTTTATAATTTATGTTATATATATATATATATATATATATATATATATATATATATATATATATATATATATATATATATATATATATATATATATATATATATATATATATATATATATATATATATATATATATATATATATATATATATTAGAGTGGTGCTAAAAACATTTTTGAAAAAAAGCTGCTCTTAGCCCTTTAAATTGTTTTTTGTTGAAAAAAAATTTAAACCTAGTGTTTTAGTATTATATAGAACAAATTAAAGGGGTAAGAGCAGATTTTTTTCAAAAATGTAGTTTTTAGCACCACCCTAATATATATATATATATATATATATATATATATATATATATATATATATATATATATATATATATATATATATATATATATATATATATATATATATATATATATATATATATATATATATATACATATATATATATATATATACATACATACATATATATATATATATATATATATATATATATATATATATATATATATATATATATATATATATATATATATATATATATATATATATATATATATATATATATATATATATATATATATATATATATTGGCACCAATAAATTCTGATATGAAATCCAGTTAATTTGTTCAAAGATGTTTTCTTTATGTGTTCCTGTACCAAAAATAACAATGTGCTTATTAATTTAAAAAATACGTTTCGCCTATCTTACTAATTACCGTAGATAAGTTAACACTTTGGCTACTGTAAAATGATTTTTTGTTGATCTTTAGGCTTTTTTCCAATCATACAACAAACTTTATAATTTTTGCCTCATTTCGTTATCAAATGATGTTTTTTTTTATCTAAATACTGTTACTAGCCTCGGATCAAGCAAATCCAAATCCAAAATGGTTTCCTTGTAAGATTGGGTAAAGGATTTTCGATCTTTTGTTGTAAACTAACCATAGCGAACAGACATGGCGCAAACGCAAACTCGAAAAATTTGTATGTTTATACTTATGTCAAATAATGATGCTTTGCAAAATATTGCGATGATTGGAGGCTGGAAACTAAAAAAAGCCCTAAAATATCATCCCCATGCCCCAAATGTGAGAGCAACAAGTTAGTAAAATAATTTTTTTGAAATTCTTAACTGTGTTTATATTCATTGATAAATTTTAAGTTTCATAATAATATCTCTCAGAGTTTATAAATTATAACTATATAAAATTTAAACCCCCCTCAATTTGAGGGGGTTACAAATTATATTTAGTCAATTTTTGAACGCTTAGAGATAGTAAAACAATACTTAAAATTTACCGATGAATATAAATTTAGTTAAGAATAGCAAAAAAGTTATTTCATCAACTTGTTATTTTTACATTTGGGGCAGGAAGATAAAATTTTAGGGCTTTTTTTGTTCCCAGCCTCCAATCATTGCAACTTTTTAAAAAGCGCCATTATTTATCATAAGTATAAAATATTTCAATTAATATCTCAAACACCAAAAAAATTTTTGTGTTTGAGATATTTTGTTGTAAGTTCTGATATGTTGTTAGCAACTTTGAAAGATTTTAAAAGTTTTGGAATTCATTGTACCCAAAAAGTCTGAGGAAGTCTCATCCGTAGGCATTTTTTCAAACCATGACTTAGAATATCAAAAACTAACCAGTAGTCTGGTGAAACAATTCAAGACCTAGTGGCCTGGCTTTGTCAACAAAAACTGCTTTCAAAAGGATTTCAGCTTTGATTCTATCCATTTTTATATCTTTTCGGACCTCCCTTTGTTTTTAAATACAAAACTTTTTGCCATTTTTATATTGTAATCTTTGTCAAAAGATGCTAACAAAAGCACCAAACACAATTCGAAGCAGGCCTTGATTTGCAAATTGAATTGAATCACGAGTCCAATCAGCATTTTGAGGAAATCTAATATTAATAAGGAATAATAATATTAATAACAGAATTTTATATTACTTAATTAGCCAGGAAACTCTCTTGACCTTAATCCTATAAAAAATGTTTAAACACACTTAAAGAAGCAAATGTCTAAAGAAAATATTACAAATAAAGTGTTTTTAATAGAAAGAATTATTCGCCACTGAAACCATAATAAAAGATTGCAGGAAATGGCTGAAAAATGCATCAAAAGTATGCATGGGTTCTTGCAATTTCTGAACTCATTAATTTGATGAGTTCAGAAATTTGCGGACAAAGCGTTTATATTTAAAAATGAAGGAAATTTCCAACAATATTTGATCAAAATTTATAAGAAATGCATAATCACATTACTATTTTGTATCTTTACAATCAAGAACGGCTTAACATCTAGGAGTCATAAAGTCAACTAAAGTAATGCAAACATTATGGGAATATAGTGCATAATTTCTTTGATTTTTCTGAATATTTGTAGCATGATTTGTAGCTTGATGTCTAACATTTGACAATCAAAATATTCCCATAATCCATAATCTCTTCTAATCTCAAATAACTAAGTTGATTGGGACACCAACTTCAAAACATGAACTTTTTTCTTTTTGAAGACTTTTTGAACCGATTTACCTGTGTGTTTGGGATTGTTATCCTAATGATATATCCATCCTCGAGTCATTTTCCACCTCTGCATGAGGTAATACAATGCTCTTACATATGTCTGTATACTTTTTGATCAATAGTTGCAGTATATCTATGGAGTAAAACTAAATAAAAACAAAGCATGAAAAAACATCCCAAAAGCATTACTGTACCTCCTCCATGTTTTGCGGTAAGCAGATTTAGGATCATATTTTATACCTATTAGACAACAAAAAAACTTGATTCCATCTGATCAGAACTGCATAAAATTTTCATCACTAAAAATAATCTTTTGCTAATTTGACTACTCCACTTGAGAAACAGCGATGCTAACTCTTTTTGTTTCAGTTTTTCAAGGTAAACAATGGCTTTTAGAATAGATGTTTTCCAAACACATTTGCATGACGTAAATTACTTTTTGTTATAGAAATACTATACCTTATTACATAAAAACATTTTATTTATACATTTAAATGTATAAATATCAGCAGACTTCCCGGCTCCATAAATGTGTGCTGTCTTATGAAACAAATTTCCATTTGAATTGATCTCGCTATTAACTTTTTCACTGGAGATATACATTTCTTAAACCTCGTGACCTCAATCACTTATAAATGAAGCTTTTTAATTATTTCCAGAGTATTTTTTACAATAGTAATAAACTAGTATTTTTTTTTGGAAAAAATGTGAAAAGCTTCAGTATGTCTGAAAATGTTTAAGCTCATTAAAAATAATTATTTATTAAATCAATTAAAGTACATTAACTTAATTATCAGTGTTTACCAAAAAATAACAGTAAAACATGAAAACCTTTTAATTGGTATATAATATTTTGGATTTAGTGAAGTGCTGCAATATTAGTAAAATTTAATTTTATTTAGCTTGTTTGCAAACTTTTGGCTAATGTAACGCTACTATGCATGTGTGTATATATAAATATAAAGGGCTATTCTAGACTGTTTTTGACAACGTTAACCGTATTTAGGCGGTGCCCAATTTAAAGTTTGAGGATCTTTTTTTTTTTTAATGTTTTTACGGCAATTAAAAATACTGATTTTCTAATAAAATCTATATATATATATATATATATATATATATATATATATATATATATATATATACATATATATATATATATATATATATATATATATACACACACACACACACTCTAAAAACAATCTGTTAGAAAAAGCAACAGATTGTTTTTTTCCATTAAATTAACGAAGTAATTTGTAACCAAAAATCAAAAATTAACTATTTACAGATTCTATGAAATTTCGTTAATTCAGCGGATTAAATATTCAAATCCATTGAAAAACAACTGAACTTTTTATTAAAAAGGATTTCCAAAAGAAATTATGAAGTGCATCTTCTGTAGATTATACTTTTAAATCTTGTTTATTTGATTTAGATTTGTCAATATACTATAGTTCTTTATTTATAATTGATAAAGTTTTAAAGTTGTTTTTCTTAAACCACATTTAAATTGTACATAAAAGGTTTGTTGCAGTAAGTTTAATTCGCAATTTTTTAAATAGCTTCACATTTCGACTAAATGTGAAGCTATTTAAAAACAGCGTAATTTAAACTGTGTTTATCCATTTGCTTTTTTACTAAATTTTAGTAGACAAAGTAAATGGATAAACACAATTTAAATTACACTCTCTTATTTTTAATTTCAAAAGTTATTAAACTTATTTTAAATTTTCTATATAAAGATTTAAATATATTTACAATTTTTTTTATATGATGAAATAAAGGGCTAGTTGAACAATTATTTATATAATATAGACTATATGACTTGTATATATTCTTGTATAGTTTTCTATTTTAGATGTGACATATAGTAACTTACAATATAAATTTAAAACAATTGTGAAATTAAAAACGTTGAAACATTTCTTTTGATGGGTATCATTATTTAGGTTAGTTGCAGCTATGCTTACATAGAGCTAGTTTACATGCTTTTATAATTTGCAATTTTAGACATGTGGCATGTAATATCACACTGTAGGTTTCATCAGTTGTAAAATGTTTACTTGCATTTTTTTTTTATGAGTACTTATTTAGGCTAGTTACAGCTAAGTTTATATATGGATTGTTATAATTTGTATATCTAAGTTTTTATATGCTTTTATAATTTGCTATTTTAGACACATGTCATGCTATATCACAATTATTATAAATATTTAAATAGTTTTCAACTTAAAAGTTAAAGTGTTTTTAAAGCTAAAAAATCTCTCCCAATCCATTTGTAGTATTTATAGTAGTTTGTTGTATATAGTTTGTATAAGTAGTAGCAGGGCTCAATTTAACGGGCAGAAATGGCTGCCCCCTAGACTGCTTTTGAGATCTGATTATGGGGGCAACCAACCATTCCAAGTTCCTTTTTACTAAAAAAATCAACAATGGTTTGTTGCCCTCCTCTAGCAGGTCTAAAAAATGGTCCGAGGGGCAGTGATGTCTGACCGTTAAATTGAGCCCTGTAGTACTGCTTGTATCAGATGTTGAATATCATAATAAAATAATCTAAATATTAAAAATAAGGACTATTTTGTAACCAAATCTCAGTTCTAGCTGGCTTAATTCCTATCTAATTAAGGGAATAATAACTTATTCAATATGATGACATACAGGCTTGATTGGGAAGTGGGAGCGATCGCTCTTGAATACTGACCACAGAAATTATATTTAGTTACGAAAACTGGCCAGGTTTTTTTGATGTTTTGAGAAAATTTAAGTTTATGTACGAAACAAAAAATTTTTGTTTTACAGACATACATGGAAACATAAAAAACTTGAATGTTCTCAAAACATCTTGGTGCAGAAGAATAAAAGGAAAATTCGCAAATACTAAAAACCCGCTAAATTAACGTACAAACTAATTCTATTGGTTCAAAAAATACACTGACTAAGCGAAATAAAGTTCTAGAGTATTCTGTTGAAATGTTTTAGAAATTGTATTATTCACGATTTGTTACATTTTGAGATTTCTAGCATAAATTGTTTTAAAAATATAATATCAATACTATGGCTCATTCTCGGAGCCACATCTGCAAAGCCATAAATCTTATAAACAATTATTATTTGTTTACATTTGTTTCCTTTTTAAACAATTGTAAGATGTTACTTTATATAAAAAACGTCACTTAATTTTATAAAAAAATTATAAAAAAGCGATGTTTTGAAAATATTTGTTCTAAACGTAATTTATTTTACTTTAAGTTTTTTCGCGTTAAAACATATTTTATTTTCAAAAATTTTTTTTTTTTTTGTAATTGTCTCTCATCATTCCAATTAATCTTTTGCACATTTTTTTTTGCTTTTTGAAATGTTCTCAAAACGACTAAAAAATCTGGCCAGCTTTTTGCAACTAAATTTTACTTCTGTGGTCAGCAATCAAGAGCGATCGCTCCCGCTTCACCAAGCCTGACATATGAATATATATTCAATATATGTAATATGAGTTTTTTAACATGACTTCTGCTGAGCAAATAAAATAGTCACAAATGCATTCTCTTGTAACATCGCAAACATTTATAGCCCAGAAGTCAAAAGGCAAATTTTTAGGATTTATATTATGTCACTACCAATAGAAGTACTATTATATATATATATATATATATATATATATATATATATATATATATATATATATATATATATATATATATATATATATATATATATATATATATACACTATATATCTGTGTGTAAACTTTTATAAAAGATATCTATTATATGTCTTGTATCTAATGTAAACAAAGTTTTAGACGTCCTTAGATGCCTGTAAATATATATTCGAAACAAAAAACATATTTTATACATAATAAAAATTGTGCATAATCTAATTTAGTCCACACATGATTTTTATTATTATAATATTTTATAAAGCAACATCATAAAATAAACGCTAGTGCATTAAATTTAATATACTTGTCTTAACTTTACAATAAAAAAGCTGTAATAATTACAATTATTAAAATCATAACATTTCCATAACAGTAAAAGTACCAATATTTTTTTTGATAAATATTAAACCCTACGTAAGTAGATTTCCTTATGCTATATTCATTTTGTATAAAAAAACCCATTTTTTCTAATAAATACTAATGCATTGCAATAATTGAGTTAACTTTCATAAATTTTTGATGTAAGAAGTTTATTTATTATAAGTTTTATTATAATAATAAATTCAAATCATTTGTCAAAAGATTACCTAACTAATTTTTTAAGTAATTGGCTGTCATGGCAATGATATATATATATATATATATATATATATATATATATATATATATATATATATATATATATATATATATATATATATATATATATATATATATATATACAATATTTATAACTTTTTTAAATTTAGTTTTTAAAATTAATAATGTACAGTTTTTTAAAATAATAATGTGCAAAGCATATACTTATACAAATTAAATTACTTTTTTGGAGAAAAAACATATGCTTCATTCACAACAAAGTAAAGAGATGAAAAGTGAACACCAAACTGCAACAACACAGTAAGAACAGTGTACAAATTAAAAATATTTGGTAATGGCCGTTCTTTTGAAAGAGTAACCAAAGGCTAAATAAAAAAATTAAAAACAATTTATTTGCAAAAACTAAATATTTGTACAAAAAGGTTTTACAATTATTTAAAAAAAAATTAAAGATTCACAAGCTTAATAAATAAAAATTATCTAAAAAGAAAAAAAATCATGATTTTCCAAAATTTTTATTTTTCCAGCATAATAATCTATTTATTCCAATTTCAAAACAAATATGAAGAATCGTTTAGACTGTTCAATTTCTGAAAAGACGAATTTAACAAAATAACTCTGAAAAATGTTATTTTAGACAAGTTTTTTTGTTTTGTAATCTGCGTTGACAGGTGTGGTCATGAATTTATGCTACTAAGATCCAAGTTTAATGACATCTAAAAACAACTTTTAGGGACTGGGCTAAAGCCAAAATCAACAAACAATTTATCTATCTCTACTACAAGTATGGAATCAACCAATTTCATAACCATATATTTTAATAACCATATATTTCATCAACCATTACATAATGATCTTGAACCTAGAATGCAATAAGATTAAAAATATGATTTCCACTTATTTTTTCTCTTAACAACAGTCTGCCCTATGTAAAGACAGCATCAAAAACATGATTGCCATATGAAAATAGTAATTTAACAAAGCATCTCAGATATACAGTTAAGATATACAGATATGCAGTTAGCATTTTCATAGCTTAAATTACCTTCTTTCCAGCTGAATATTTATGCAAAAAGCAAAAACAAAACAAAACAATAAACAAGATAACATAATTTTAATGATAAATTCCACTTATTTTGACTCAAAAAAAATGATATGAAAATATGAAAAAAATGGATATGCACCCAACAAAATAACTTGAGAGTTATGGCAGTCAAAGATGTTTAAAAATATTATCTTAAAAACAAATTTCAATGTCATTTCTTCCATAGATGTTTTCATATATTTTGGTCACACTATTTTTATACAAGATAAACCCATCTAAAACAAGAATATTTAACTTTCTTACAACCACAAAGACCATGTATTTAAATGCTCTTCAGTATAGAATATACATGGGGTGTTAGGGTGTTAGAATATACATAATAAGGGTGTTCAATTTTGCTTTTACAATTTTTAGAAAGTAGTTTCCTCTGATTTGGAAAGTGTTTGTAAATTAAATGTTAAAAAAATGTTAAATTTTTATTGGAAAATGTTTATTTAACTATACTTGATTGCTTGAAGGTAAAAAAAAAAAAAGAAAATTTCTAACTTTCCAGGAAGCGGAAATGGATTGAATTCAATCTATTTCTAATTTCCGGAAAGTGGAAAGTATTTAAAAATTAATCACTTTCTTTAGATTTTTATATGACATTAAATTTATAGTATTAATATTAATTAAATTTGACCTTACCTATACTTTCCAATTACTTATTTATTAATTAAATTTAACCATTCCCTAATCTTTCCAATCACTTACTTATTAATTAAATTTGACCTTACCTACACTTTCCAATCACTCCCTTTGGAAAGTCAAAAAACAATTTAAACAATCATATTTTTAATTTTATTTATTTATTTATTTATTTATTTTTTTTTTTTTAACATCTTCACTTCCAACAAGGCTGCAAGCAACCACTATAAGAGTTGGAAGTTACTGGAAGAGAAAAGACTAAATCTGTAGAGCAAGATAACGATTGAACGATTGAACGATTGAAAAATCTGTAGAGCAAGATAACGATTGATTGATTTACTTCTTTTTTACAAATAGTTGATTATATCATAGCCAATAGAATTTATCCCTGGTCGGGAAGTAAAATATTTTGACAAAATGGTCTTTTTATTTAAAAATATCATAATCACGTGACAAAGTGCAAAAAAAAAATTTGAATCTATTCTGCTTCAAATTTTTGTTTTTTTACTGAAATTTATTGCTTTTCCAAAGATTGAGCCAGCATGGTAAGTAAGAAATAATTTGATGTGTACTTCATCAATCAATAGCAAACACTTTTTTTGCATTTCCAAGATTTAAAGTTTTTGCATTTTCAAGTTTTTAAAAACTGAGTTTAAAATCTCTGTATCATCCATTGCAGAATCCAGTTTTGAAGTTAGCTTTGTTAGGAGAAAAATACTCGGAAGTTCATTATCTTCCCTTAATCTTCCATATAATGATCTTGGTTCTCGTATTCAATAAAAGTTATCCCTTAGTTAATAGAAGTTTTCCCTTGTAGGTTTTTTTGGGATAACTTCTATTGAATAGTTTAACTAAGGTTTCCCTGTTTTATTCTATTACTATAATAAATTATAGAAAGTGAGATCGCAGTTCGCTTGGCATCTGAAGTATATTTAATTTGAGTTCAATTTAAAATAAAGAAATGGTAAAAAAAAAAAAAAAAAAATTTGCTTGTATTTTCAAAATACCAGCCTTTGTTTATTTCATAAATAAGCACTCTTTAAAATTAAATAAATAATTAAATTCTAATTATGTAACTAAAATTTTTTTTATAATTCATCAACAGTAATAAAAATATTTGTTTTTTTTAATCAACATAAAATCATTTTTAGCTTTAAGTGCGCAAATAGTTCGGTTATAAGTATAATAGATACTGTCTTTGCATAATCAAACCAGCTCATTTAACAAACAGTAGTTCTTAATGTTACATTAAAACTTATTTTTCTTTTGAAATTGATAAACTGGGACAGATCTTAATAAACTTCAAATGGTCAGAAATTTATAAAATAGATAACAACTAAATAAATTTTTTTATTGACTTTCCAATGGAAAGTGACAGGAAAGTTTAGGGAAGTCAAATTTAATTAATAGCAATATTTTAATTTTACAATCGTGGAAAAACTTAAAGAAAGTGGTTAATTTTAAAATACTTTCCACTTTGCAGAAATTGTAAATAGAATGAATTCAATCTATTTTAACTTCCTGGAAAGTTGGAAACTCATAAAAACTTAACTTTTTTTTTAATGTCACATGAATTGTATAATTGAAACATGGATTACTTAAAAAATTTCCACTTTCTCGAAAGTAAAGCAAAATCAAACACTCGTAATACATAAAGTGTGAAAAAATGGTAGGCAGTAAAAAAGTCGCATTCTTTTTCCTAACACAAAATTGAAAATTTGTTGATAAAACCTTTTAGTTAAAATATTGAAAATGTAATTTTGGTACTGATTAAATTGTTATATTTCTGGAGCATCAAGCCCACTGGCAACATTAAACTCAGATTATACACTAAATATCAACTTTAACAATCAACATACACTAGATCATATACAGAATATCAACTTTAATAGTTATAACAGATCATACACTGAATATCAACTTAGACAAACTCAAATAAAACCCTCAACAAATATTTTTTTTTTTTTACAATTTATTTGTTCAACTTTCTGTGAAAAATTAAGACAATGTGGCTGCTTTCTCATCTTCTTGTTAAAACTTATTATTCTTCAAACAACATTCTTATCAATAACTTTTAATAATGAATAATCATAAAATAATTCAAATACAACTATATTATTATTGGGTAGTTAAAATGAAAAATATCAAACTGATAGAAGCAACTTATAAAACAAAGACAATGTTTCCATATATTATATACAAGATAACATTCTAATCACTTACAGTATTATTTGTATAGATTATTACATTATACACACACACACACACACACACACACACACACACACACAGATATATATATATATATATATATATATATATATATATATATATATATATATATATATATATATATATATATATATATATATATATATATATATATATATATATATATATATATATATATATATATATATATACAGTGGTTTTCATAAATTTTGAGAATAGAAAATTTTATTTGAGAATAGAAAATTTTAGGTATTTTAACGATAAAACAATGACGAAAAAAGATTTCGGTTTAGTTTTTTTTCTATTTATCAGATAAATACATACAGAATACAAAATTTAAAAAAAGTTTACAAAAAAAAATGAAATACTAAGTAATAATTAGGTACAACTACATGGTATTAAAAAAATTAGACAAAAAAAATTATTCATAAATTTAGACGCACGATACATTAGAAGGCATAATTTATGAACCAATCAATATTTTGTGTATCCGCCTTTTGCTTTAATACAACTAAGAACTCTTCTAGGCATAGACTCAACAAGATTTTTGCACATCGCTTCTGGGACCCCATACCAGGTCTCCTTAAGGAATTCCTTCAGCTGACCAAGTGTGGAAATTTGAACCTTTGCTAATTCACGATCAATCCAAGCCCAAATGTTTTCAATCGGGTTCAAATCAGGTGAATATGGAGGCCACAGTATTGTCATAATATTATTATTGTTGAACCACTCCTTTGTATAGTATGCAGTACGTGCAGTAGCTATCTTGTTGAAGTTTCCATGGTTTATTATTGAGCATAAGCAGGTCAATTGATGGAATTAGGTTGTTTTCCAGTACTTCTACGTATATTCTGGAGTTGATTCTTCCGGTGTATGTTTGGCACATACCAACACCTTTGTAATTGAAGCATGACCAGATTCCTATCGAGCCTCCTCCACTTTGTACAGTTGGTCTAATGTACCTGGCGTAATACTTTTCGTGAGCCATTCTTTTGACTGTTATGTTAGATTTGCGATTGATAAGCTCAAAGTTACTCTCATCACTCCACATAATGTTTTCCCATTGATCTATTGTCCAATACCTTCTTTCACGACACCATTTTAGTCTCCTTTGTTTATCATATGGACGCATATACGGTTTCTTCAAAGCAGTGTAGACTCCAATCTTGTATTTGATAAGTATTCGGCGGACTGTGCTTTGAGAAATAGATGTATTTCGTGTTGTATTGAATTCTGTGGTCAATTCTTTGTAACTAATTCTTGGATTAGCTCTGACAGCTCTAAAAAGAACACTATCGTCCTTTCTCGTGGTTGACAAGGGTCTACCTGGCCTCGTTTTCTCGCTGGCACCACCAATGTGAAGAAAGTTTTGTTTCGTTGTCCGAACGCATTTCTCAGAAACTCCAATTAACTTGGCGATTTCTCTATTACTTTTGGTTCCTTCTTTGATGTGCGCAATAATTTGCCATCTTTCACCTTAAGTGATACGTCTTTTGCCCATTTTTTACGTTTTTTTAGTGCAAAACTAACTTAACTTTTGTTTATTTATTAAATAATGATTAAATAATTCCAGGTAAGTCATATTTATATAAGGTTTTTTGACAAAATCATTTAATTTAGGCCTATTAATGAGAAATATAAGAAAAAAACTACTAATTAACTATCAATTAACAAGATATAAGACTTTTTTAATTGTGCGTCTAAATTTATGAACAAAATAAAATCAAGTTTATCAATTAACTTTTTTGTGTTAATCGGTATAAAATGAGTAATAAACATCCTGTAAAAAAAATTAAAGTACTCTATAATAGAGTTTCATTTCCTCTTTTAAATTATATATCAAACATAGCGGTAGCACTTTTATTTTATTTTTATTTTGAGTATTTTCTTACATATATGAAAAAAAAAAATGAATGCGTCTAAATTTATGAAAGCTACTGTATATATATATATTATATATCAGGTAATCAGGTATATATATATATATATATATATATATATATTATATTATATATATATATATATATATATATATATATATATATATATATATATATATATATATATATATATATATATATATATATTATATATCAGGTAATCAGGTATATATATATATATATATATATATATATATATATATATATATATATATATATATATATATATATATATATATATATATATATATATATATATATATATATATATACCTGATTACCTTTCTATTGACTACTAATGCTTATCTATATCTTCTACATTAACTATATTATCTCTATTTTATATCTTTTCTAGTCTACATGTATATGTATATAACATAAATTAAATCTTAGCTTTGTATCATTTTCAATAAATAAAGGATTTACCTAAAAAATAATAAACTGATTCTAAACTTTTGCAAGAGACTGATTTTGATATTTATAATACACTCAAAATATAACATATAGCTATTTTTAAATACTGAGAACTTTAATAAATAAATTGCTATAAGGCAACTTTGCAACTAAACTAATCAACCTGTCAAGTAAACAATTCTAGTAACTTAAATTTACAGAATGGTCTTGAATCTTGAAGTAAACCAAACAATCTCTTAATCTGTTTTATCTCAAGTAGTTAAAAAATTATCTTGCAGATAATAAATGCAAATATATTGAAAAAAGCTTTCACCTATTTATTAACACGACTTCTTATTTTTTAGTTGTAAAATAGAAATATAAAACACATGTATGTTTTTAAACGTAATGATCATTAGCTCCTTATAATGTATAATAATATACAAATGTATATATCTAAATAAACATAATGTAATAAATATAATGTAATAAACATAATGTACTATATAAATCTATAAAGTTGTTTATTTTTTTTACCCACCACCATTTTTAACACGTTAACTTCATAGAGGAATAGTCATTTTTCTGATTTCTAATTAACTTTTTAAGTAACAAAAATATTTAAAAGTTGATCCATTTTTATTCATGTAATGCCATATTGTGCATACTATTTAAGTTATTTTATTAATCTCTGCCTTTAATAAGGTCATTCCAAGATAAAAGCCTATCAAATTTTTATTTTGCTGGCAGAAGGTATTTTTTTAAATATTTAACTTCTCAAAACCAAATCAATATTTAAAAAATTAAAAACCTTATTTAAATGCTGACCTTAGAACGAGAGATAAATAGAAAACATCCAGCTAGTAATATCCCTTGCAATGTAGCTTGCCTAACAAATTAAAAAAAATCATTTTTAAAATCATTATAACAAAAAATGATCATAATAAATATATATTTTTTAAATTTGATAAAACTTTCAATTTTAAATTATTACAAAAAAATAATGATAATTATCATGATGATTGCAATCATCTTTTAGGAAGATTCAGACAACATACCCATCACTGAACTTTATTCCTTCTAGATAAAGTGCGCTCTGACTGTATGCAAGTATGAGTGCATTTAATGCTAAAATCTTAAACATTTGTAGAGTGGTTACTAAAGTACAGCGTCCTTGTTTTATCACATGACATACTGTAAATAAAAGCATAAAAATTTAATTTAAAAATTTAATATAATGTAGCAAAAGCACAACAACACAATAAAATACTTGAATGTACAGTACAACAACACAATAAAGATTAATACTTGAATATGGTGTACAGTATCGTGATGTAAAAGGAGAAGCTATAGAAGCATCACCAAGTTTAACAACCTGCGAACTTTCTTTGTCAATTTCTTGTAACATTTCACGAAGTTTTGCCTGAACAAAAAAAAACAAACTAAATACAGTACTATTAGTATCATAATACATTAATGTTTTATCCTCCTTGTGCCTATGGCCTAATGTAAATAATATATAAATAATAGTAACAATAATAGTATATTATAAATAAAATAACATAGGGGACAGTGGGACACCATGATACACTTTGGATTTTTGCTTTGTAACAACTTTTTTAATGCATCTTTTTTTTAAGCGATTGGTTTAACTTGTAGAATATATTTATACCTACAAAATTAAATTTATCAATAGACGTCTTCACAGTTCCAATAATTTCATAACAAAAGCAAGTCTTGCAAAAATAATCTTTTTTTTTTTTTAATTTAGGACCTAAAATAAATTTTTTGTAAAAAACTTTTTATATTTTAGAGCTCAAAATAAGGCATACAGTTGCATATTGATTAGTTACCTAGTACAAAATATGGTTCTACATACCAGGACTCAAATTAAGCGCATTGCGATTGGTTTTCACAATTTTGCGATTGCTTTTTGCATTTTCGCAATTAGTTTTTCTTAAAAAAATAATTTTACAATTTTTTATTTTTGTAATTTTTTTTTTCCTTTTAATTTTAGCTTTTTTTTGGCCATTATAAAAAATAAAGAATGTTCTTGTCTGAGATTTTTATTAGGGGTAAATAATGTATGTCACCCTAAATTTAACTTTTAAATAGTTTTATGATGATTCGCTCTCTTGGGCTGAGATTTTCATTTAACATAAAGTGCTTTTGAATTTCAATTACTTTATATCTCTGCATGGAAACCAATAATATCTTACTTCTACTTTAGAGTTAAATTTAGTGTGATTTACTTTATGTACATTACAGCAACTTAACCTTAACATCAAAGTACATCACAGCAAATTAACCTATAAAATCAAAACAACAATTTTAAGTTACTTCAGTTAAGTTATTTGCATATTAATATGTTCAAAGACATTTACTTGCATAGAAATGTTTATATTTATTTATATATTGTTAAAACACAACAAGCGTCTAATTAAAAATTTTAACAAGAAATTTCAAAATAGAATTTTTTAATATTTTCATTTTGTTTATGCCCATATCAAAATTAAACATTTTCTAGTTGTTTTTAGGAATTCATTTTAAAAAAAAATTGAAAATTGAAAAAGAGAATTTAGTCTTCTCAAACTCTCCTATTCAAATAATTTTGAATTTAAGATTTTGAGAATTTTTTAATGCTCGCTGACAATAATTATAACTTTAATTGTATGGCAACTGCAGCTAGATTTAGAAGATTTTAGTGCAATTGAGGAAGAAAGTTTTATTTAAATCAAAAATATTTTCAATAGTTAAATATTTTTGTAAAGGCATCATTTTTTTTTGTTTTTGAAAATAATTTTAAAAAGTAAAGAAAAGTAAAGAAACATTCTATTGCAAACATTAAATGAGAAAAACAAAAATTAAATTTAAGTTTAAAAAAACTAATTATTCTAATTCTGTTCAAAGTATTTTTTTTTTCAAAAAAATAAAACAAAAACTTAAGCATATTCTTATATTTATGGAAATGAAATGAAAAAATCAATTATACTTAAATTTTTAATAGTATGTTAGATCAACAAGCAATAAAGTAAAAAGAACGTGGTATCTAACAAGTTTAATAATTTTTTGAATTTTTTTAAATTTGAACTTACTCATTTGGTCTATAGGTAGAGCATGTTTTTTTGATTTGATCTTACTTGTTTGGTCTATAGATAAAACATGTTTTAATTTTTGCACAAGTATTAAGTTTAAAGTTTTATGACAATTATGTTTTCATTTTTTTTTTAGTATATAGAAGAATTAAAGGAATCAATAAATTTAAAGTTTCAAAATAAGTGGAACAGTGAGCTTTAATATCTCAAGTCTATTTATAATTTATAACAGAGAAATAACTGAGCACGATAAAGAGAAGCAAACTAAGCAAATTCTAACTTAACAATCAACTGTATATATGGTTGCATATAAGAGATGTAAGGTTGTAAAGAAGATCACTAATGTAGATAAGAACCAAACAGGATTAATCATAAAACCTCGAGATATTACTGGAAATGAAAAAGAGGCTTTCTAGGATGACTTTAATGAAGCGGTTAGGAAGAAATGATTTGATAATTTTAAAAACTTTTTCTGATATACATATCAGGCCTTGTTATGAGACTTGGTTGCGTAACGGAAAAGTGTAATGTAAGTTAATGTAATCATATTTACATTGGTAAAAGTTAAAGTAATCAGTTGTGTCAAGTTGTAATCAGTTGAAAATTTTAAAGTACCACATTAAATTTTATTTGAAATCATGTTAAAAATCATTTAAAATTGAAAATTATTTAAATAGATTATATTATAATAATACTTAATTATTATTATTATAACTAAACAATATTGACATAAAAAAAAAAAAAATATCAATAAAATTTAAATATGTTGATTGAAAAAAAAATATCTTTATTTAAAATAATTTATACTTATACTATTTAGTATTATTAAAACATAACACAACATTATTTTCTTATGTTTGTTTTCTCGCAATTTAGTTTTTTTAATGTGGAGGGATTGTTCATGGGTGAAGTTCTCAATGATTAATTACTTAAATTTTTTTATTAAATATAAAATAAATTATTTCTTATAACAACTTTAAACAAACTATCAATCAAGTTTATCAGTTATCAATAAGATATTTGTCTGACAAGGTTACTTTGTATCAACATCGCGATTGCTTCAAATAATTTACTTTTAAGATTGCTAAATAGCCCATTCAACCAGCAATCACTTAATTTGTTCCTTCGACATATATTTTAAATTTCATACTATTTTACAGATTTTTTTTAGTCGTTTAAAAACAAAAAAATAAAAAGTATTAATTTTTTATTAACATTTTGACTTTCACAAAACCTTCGCTAATTACTAGTTCTCTAGTACTATCTAAAAAACTAAGGATAATGAAAAAGCTTTTGCTAAAAAACAATTTCAAAACTAAACAAATTGCCTTTTCATAAATTTGTTATTTAAATTTTGCAAAAAAAATTCTCTAAAATAATATTTCCTACAGACTTGATTAGGGTTTATCCAGCAATCCACTTATATACAGTTATAAGTGCATTAAGCACTTTTGTATATTAGCACTTATGTAAAAAATTTAATAAAATAAATTTAATTATATTTAATAATAAATTTAATTTAAATATAATAAAATTTAAATTAAAAATTTTTAAAAAGGAAAAGTAAAAATAAAATTATTTAACTATCTTATGATTTTATGAAAATGCTATCTGTTTTTTTATGAAAAAAAAAAAAAAAATTATTTCATAACTGCAGTGTAAATGTTTTTTTACAACAATTAAATTTAAAGACCATTTAAACAATCTAATTGAAATCTAAATTAAACTTTAAATTATAACAACTTAAGCTATATTAAACTCAGCCATACAAGAATATTATGAGATATTTAAATATGAGAAATATTATTTTAAAAGAATTGCAATTACAAACTAATGTATAAAAGCAACCCTTCTTACCACAAAACAGTGAATGGGGTTTCAAACAAAAATTTTTTTTTGCAATTAGATTTTTTTTTGCATTAATTTAAGTTCTTTTGCATTAATTTAAGCATATAATACAAACAAATGATAAAATGCAAGCCTTCCCAGGAAGCGCGTGCGGTTGCACACCTTGTTTGTCATTGCTTGAAGTAATTTTTTTAGACAGACTGACCACAACAGTTTGCATCTTTAAACTTTTAAAGCATTTCAATAATTGGCGGCAATAAGCTAAACTTATCTATTGAGAAAAAAGAAAAAAATTTTAAAAAGGAAACAAAATTGCAATAAAATATCAAATTTTAATTAAATAAACTAGAAAAATTAAATAATTACAAAAAAATATCAAATTTTTAAATAAAATTTTAATACAACTCTAGTATTATTTTTTTTAGGGATTTTTTTAACTACCGAATTTGATAAAAGTCGAGGAAAAAACATATTATAATTTATAACAATTTTTACAACAATTGAAAATTTTGATATGTAATTTGTTCACAACTTTTATCAGTCCATATATTCAGAAAATAATTTCCTAGATACGCTAGAACTATGAGAAAATTGCTATTTATTTGTAAAATATATTATTTGATGAATGAATTTTGTAATGACGGAAGAAATAAAATAAAAGAATAACATGGTTTCTTTGTATTTACCACATTTAATACATGTCTGAAAATGTTTCCTTTATATTGCCCAATTTCCAATGTTAATACGAGTTACAAGAGATAATGAACATAACAATTGCTCTGTTTGAAAAAATGTATTTAAAAAATTTAAAAAAAAAGTTATAAATAGGTTCCTAAAAATTTCGCTAAAAAAGTTTAGTAACTTAACAATGTTAGTGCACTATTAATTTATTAAACTTTTTTAAGATACCAATAGTTCATCAGGAAATAAACTATTGGATTTAAACGCGCAATTTGGAAAATCCAACAAAAGTGTAGACTATTTCAATGATGGTAGTGAAAACAACCAAATATTTTATATTTGAATTTAACTATTAATGACTTTTTATTTTTTTACATGAAAAACTTGTTAAAAAAAAAAAAAATTCAAAAATTTTTATATTTGCAAAAAAAATTCAAATTTTTTTTTTGCAAATAGCGCAAATAATAAAGTATTATAATATACTGATTGGTAAAAGTTGCGAATAAATTGTTTAAGAAAAATATAAAAACGTTGTCAAGTTGTCTAGTAAAATTATTTTAAACGTGGATGAACAAGGTGTTCGATCATACGCGCTTCCTGGGAAGGTTTGAAATGCATAGATATTCTAATAAATAAACCTGCTGTTCTTCAAGAGGTGTTTTTGCAAGAACTGAAACATCACCACGAGCAACAGAACGAATCTTAGCAGCTTTGCTCATTCCTTTACTGCTAGGAACTGCTTTACTTTCTTCAGCTACATCTTTTTTCTTTTTACTGGCTTTTTTAACCTGTGGCATTCTTTCAGCTGTGCCAGGCAATAATGCTACACCTAAGACACAATTTATTTGTTAAAGTAAAATGTATAATAAAATTAGGAGAAAAAGATTCACATACCAAATATCTAAAAAAATATATTTATAATATATGAAAATAATAATAAAGAGCCATGCAAAATCTGCACAAAAATAAAAATTTTGATTTAACTTTACTTCCACATTCTATATATTGAAATCTATTAATCTATTTAAATATTAGACCAATTTAAAAATTTTTGGTTCTAAAAATGGACAAAAAAAGTCAATTTTTGTTGATGCGCAATTAAGAGTAGTTTTTTTCTCATTGTTTTCTCAAAATCATTTTACTTGGACTTAGCTTGTTTTGCAAATGGGTTCCTCAATTATTATAAGCTGAATGTAGACTTTGTGGAAACTTCAAAACCACTAAAAGGAAGGTAAACCAAAAATTCTTTGTATTTCAAAAATGCATTATATAAATAAAATATAGCAGGCCTTGTGATGAACAAGATTGTTTGCTCTGCGCCAGTGAAACATGCCCATAAATGGTCTTCTGGGCAAAACAAATAGCGCTCGCTACTTGAAGAACTTGCAAGGAACTGAAGAACTTGCAAGGAACTGAAGAACTTGCAAGGAACTGAAGAACTTGTAAGGAAGAAAATTATAAGTTGATTTTATAGAAAATATTTTCAGCAAAATTTTTTTACTGAAGTCAAAATATGTTATATTAAAAAGTAGAGCTTGCATATTGTTAAATAATACTTAAATAATATCAATGAAGTTATACTCGTTATAAAGTACGTCATGCATAAATGAAAAATATCAGTGCAAGAGACCCAATCATTTATTCCTTCTATTTGAAAGTTAAATTCAGCATGACTTTTTTTTTTTTTAATTCCCATTGAACTTTATCATATTATCTCTTAATTATACCCTGGTTAAGTTGAACCAATCGCTAACTCGCACAGTTTTTTTGGGTCCATTTGACAAAAAACTTTGCTTAACTAGGACTTTTACTTTGAATTGCATAAAAGTTATGTAATAAAATATCAAAACTTGCAACACTTCAATAAAAATTTCAAACTTTGAATGCTTAAAAATTAAATATCTAGGATAAGATTTTATTTAAAACAATTTATTAAACTAAAACTTCATTAATAGCTTCAACTTCTTGCAGGTTCAATCAAATTTTATCTATTAATGACTATTACATTTAAAATTCAAAAACATCAAATAAAATTCAAAATGTTTTTATTTAACAAACTAAATATTTTTACTGATATCTTCAAATTGGTTAAGCTTATAATAAAATCTATTTATTAAAGTTGAAGTTAAACGAAACTAAAAATTAAAACTATAACAGAAAAATTCAAAATATAAGTCTTTTCAGAGTCCAAGTTAATGGGATTCTACATACATGTGTATGTATATATATTATATTGCTACATGTATATGTAGTATGTGTGTATATATATATATATATATATATATATATATATATATATATATATATATATATATATATATATATATATATATATATATATATATATATATATATATATATATATATTGTTTTAGCTATACTTTAGTGACAAATTATTGTGATTTGTGAACAAAAACTTTTTTTGTATTTCCTCCTTTACAGAAACTTTTTCTATTAGTGTTTCATATTTATCTATGGGCTTTCATCGCTTAGTCTTAGCACAACCAACACAAATTTTTGGGATCACATATTAAAAGATTACTTTTAATTAAAGAGAATTTTTAGAGAAGATGAGAGATTTAGATTTAAAAAAAATTACTTGTAAAATGGCAGCAGATTAGGGGTAGAACATTTCACTTAAAATCACAAATGTTCAACCCTCTTACACCTTTTCAAATCGCCTTACACCTTTGCAAGTATCACACTTAACTTGTTTGTTTGTACAGTGGTCTTATTCAACAAGACTTGTATTTTATAATTTAGGGTTAAGGGAATTGTAACAACACAACAAAAAAAATTAAAAAAAGAGTAGCTTCTTTGACTGCAGTGGTCCCCTCTGGAGCATTGGGGAGGTGAATTTAATTTTAAAAAATCTGGGCAGACCAATCATCTGTTGTTATGTTAAACAAAATAATGCTTAATTGCCCAATTTAGAAAAATTGTTACACAGGCTAGTTGTCTAGCTCTAATCAAAGATTTTTATTTTGTAGCAGGATTTAAAAACTGTAACACATCTAATATTATTGTCTAAGAGAGTATTGTTGTTGTAGCAATAACAACAATACTAAAGATTTTTCAATAAATGAAGACAATATATAACTAATATAATAATAAATTATATATAAGTGTTTAAATATATTAAAAAATTGAGTACAAAAATTTTTTAAAAAAATATTGAATATTAAAACCTCAAACCACATACCTACATGTGCATGTCTTAGAGCTCCAACATCATTGGTTCCATCTCCACACATTAATGTTACAAAGCCAAGGTCTTTAAACTCATGAATGATAAATTCCTTTGAAGCAAATAAACAAAAACTTTTAAAAACTTAAAAATAAATTTTTTTTTTTTTAATAAGAGACTTAAAGTAAAATAAAGGAATATAAAAATAACATTAAAAGTAAGAAAAACTTTTCAAAACCAGTAAAAAATTAATTTTATTGTAAATAATTAACAAATAAGTAAAAAATCATAATAAAAAATGAGTTAAAAAAAACCTTTTGTTTTGGGCTAACACGAGCAAACACACGGCAATGAATAAGTATCTCACGAAACTTTTGACGTAGAAATGGAGATAACTGCATATATTGAATAGCCTAAAATATCAAATGGATACTTAAAACATTACAAAATCATTTTTAATACTCAATTTAGACACCAGTAATAAAACCAATGTATAAATTTATGTATGGTAACATAATATATCATTAATCTATTAAATCTACAAACTAGCAAAAAAACAATAAAATAACCTCTCCAGTCAAACAAAATGAGTATTTATCAATAAGAATTTTTGTCAGTACATCAAGTGAAAACCTTTCACTTTCATCTACTGTTTTCCAGCACCAAACTTCACTTGCATGTTTGTCTAGAATAAGAAAGAAAAAAAGCTGTAAAAAAAAATTAACAATTAACATTAATTATATAGAAATCCCTTTTCATAAAAGTATGAAAAAAATACTATAAAAACTTCATTCTACTATAGAGCATAAAGATATGCATTTCCCAGTTTTTTTCAGCAACCTAAATCCATAGTTTTTAAAAAAAAAAAAGAAAAAAAAAAAAAGAAGAATAAGAAACAAAAATTTATTGCTGCCCCAACCCAAAACTCAGTCAATATCACAGCAACTCCTTTGCATGTTCTCCCTATATCATTCGATGTATGTACTAAAGCCCTCTAAGCTTGCTATTTTAGTACGACATCAGAGTGCTACTCAGTGTATATTTGTGTGTGTGTTAAAAACCATAGAAACCATAACTTTACAACAACAAAAAAAATCACCAACAAATGTTGTTTCCTTCAACAATACTAGCAGAGTTTTGTTATTCATTTTTAGTGAGTTTGCTACATGGCACGCTGTCAATGGATTATCCCCTGTGATCATGATGGTCTAAATAAATAACAAATTAAATTTAAAAAAATAACTCATAAGATTAAAAAATTATTTCTAATAAACAAGTGGAATCTAATAAAAATAACTTTGAACTATTTGAAAACACTTCTTACATAATGAGATGCATTTTGTATTTCAGCAATAGTACTTTTGGAATCAAGCTTTAATGGGCATGAAAGAACAATGAATCCATCAAAAATAAGATTGCTTTCAACATCCTCTCGCTTCATTTCACGAACCTTTAAAATCCACAAAAACATTTTAATTATATAAAGCAACTGTTGAAGGGATGCTTTGAAAGCTGTTTAAGAGCTAAACAAGAAAACCTCTTGTAATTCTATATTAATTACATTACAAATAAATTAAAATTATTAATATTCAAACATTTAAAATACTCATTTTTTTAAATTAGAGCTGAAAATTGCTAACCAATACATTTCATATGTAATATATAAACTATAGCTCATATATTTTCTTGCTATATTTATACTATATATAAAAAAAATATATATATATATATATTTTTATTGAACTATATTTTTATAAAAATAAAAATATAGTTCAATAAATAAATTAAATTTGTTCTTATCAAAGATTACCTCTATATTATATTTATTCTTTTTTTATTTTATTAAGTTAAATTGCTTCCAAGTTAAATTGCTTACAAACGAAAAATAAAAGAGTTTTGTAATTATACGTAGAATGAAAATACTTTTGAGTTTGTTTATAAGTTAAGGAACTTAATTTTTAATGAACAAATTTTAACGAACGTTGATTATAAACAGATACAATTCAAATTATTAAATATACTTTTATTATTTTAGTTGAGTATTTTTTTAAGTTTCCACGATTATAGTTTTGCGTAAAGTTGAGTATTTTTTTAAGTTTGCACGATTATAGTTTTGCATAAAGTATTTGTCTTTTTGTTTTAAGAATTAACAAAAGAGTTTGCATTATTAAGACTTTTATATTTAATTTAATTTTTTTTTTTAATTCCTATTTTTTACTTACTCCAGAAATTTTTAAAAATAAAAAAATCATTATTTTTTTATTCAATAACGATTTATAAACAGTAATTATTAAAAAACAAATTTCAGAAATAATTTAAAAAAAATAATATATATATATATATATATATATATATATATATATATATATATATATATATATATATATATAATTTTACTAAATAATATTGAACTAAAATTAATATTAAAAGAATAATTGAAAACATAACAAACTTTTCATAATAAATTTATATTTAAAACATTTTTAGTTATTTGAGTTAATTGTTAAATTGAACTAGTTAGAGGTTATTTATTTATTGTAGTAGTAAACACTTAACGTCTATAAAAAAAAAATAAAGATAATTTTATGACGTTAAATATCGCGTTAAGCTAATGCATTAAGCACTTTTTTATTTAAAACAAGGCCTGATATATATTAAAAAAATAAAAACTTTATTTTTTTGTTGTATTATTTTTAACTTTAGTAAATTTATAAATCTAATATAAAATTAAGCAGGTTTTAAATATTAAATTAAGGTATAAGATTCAAAGATAAGGTTCAAAAAAATATTGAAGGTGTAATTCTGTGTAACAGTATTGAAAAACCATATTTGCTTATTTATAAAGTCAAAATAGGCAAGAGAACAGTAGAAATGTATAATTTATGTGAAAAACCATAAAAAATGTATAACAGTCTGTTTTTAGAAGTAACACTTATAGAAGTCAAAAAATAAGGTGTTTTTTTTTTGTTCAAATTGCTTTAATATATATATATATATATATATATATATATATATATATATATATATATATATATATATATATAATATATATATATATATATATATATATATATATATACATATATATATATATATATATATATATATATATATATATATATATATATATATATATATATATATATATATATATATATATATATATATATACTTTTATGGATTAAACAATGTCTTCCACCCGCAACTATAATTATAAAAATTAGCAGGCCCTAATATTATTCAAAAAAAAAGTTTTTCAAAATTATGTGATGTAGGTACTCAAATAAAGAGAAATTTTATAAAAATTTCAAAAATAATAACTTTTTCATATAAAAATTATCATTTTAGATTTTATTGCATAATAACTACAGTTTTTTAACTAAAAGTGAAAAAGGTGCATTTTTACATGTTTTTTTAATAACAATTTTTTTTCGGCAATATGATTTTTATAAAACGATTTTTATTTTCGAATTTTTTATAAAATTTTGCTTCTTTTGAGTACCAGGTTGACCTACTTTTGAAAAATTTTACCCTAATATTTTGGAGAAAAATAATTTTTTCCAAAATATTAGGGTACCGGTAATTTTCCCAATAAAGTTGCGCCCTTTAAATCTATCACAATCATTCTCATATTTGATAGTATCAATATTAATAACTGTTAGCAATGTTTAGAGCCTGTAACAAGAAAAATTTTTTTTTGACCCACCCTAATATATATATATATATATATATATATATATATATATATATATATATATATATATATATATATATATATATATATATATATATATATATATATATATATCAACCCTTGGAAAAATGAGGTCAGCAATAAATTGTCGACCTCAACTGTTAGAGGTCGGCATCAGGTTGCCAAAGAAACTTTGACACAAAGGGGTTATAATAAAACATAGAAACGAGGCCAGAACTTTTTTGCTGACCTCTAACACTTTAACGTTGGCAGTTAGGTCAACATTGCTGAATGTTGATCCTAATTCCGAGGGCTGATATATATATATATATTTTACAATAACTGTTGTACAATAAAGTCTTACAACTTTTGTACAACAAGAAAACCAGGCTTAAAGCTTTTATATTAACTTTACATGCAATGTCTTATTGCACAATCCTCTCAATGCTCTTACTTTTTTTTATTTTTATTTTTAAAAATATGCTTTTGTTTCATTTTAAAAAGTATTTTTAAAATAATTTTTTTTTGAATACTCAACAAACAAAAAATTCTAACTTCTTTTGGTGAAATTGATCCCAAATCTTTATGTCCTAATGCCATAATGCGTCCTCCATTACAAGTTAGTTTTTTGTGTAAACTGTCATAAAATTCTGGAACACTGACGAACTATTAAAAGACAAAAGACAAAAAATAAAATCAATATCTTGAAAAATAAAATATATGTAAAAGTTGTAAAACAAAATAAACATTACAAAATAAAAGTTTTTTTTAATTATTATTTATGGCAGAAAATTTGCAAATTTTAAATTATTGCAAACTTGCAAACTTAAATTTGTTACAGAAGTGAGATCAAAACTCTGAATTTGATTTCACCTCTGTAACAGATTGGGGCTTCCGGTGGCTTCTGAACTTTGACTCCAACAAAACTCAGTTATTAACTGCAAACAATTATCGCAATGAAAAGAGGTCAGTAGTGAAACAATAATCCAAGAAGAAGTAAAGAAGAGGACTCAGTGTGAGGATTGCCACTCATTAATATGGAAATACTGACATATTTCCATATTAATGAGTGGCAACCTTCTCACTGAGTCCTCTTCTTTACTTCTTCTTGGATTATCGTTCCACTACTTACCTCTCATGGAAACCATATATACAATCAATTACAAAGTTAGCATCTGCTAAGGTTTCTTCTCTTTATCGGGCTAGCCATTATCTTACTCTTAATTCCATTCTCTACCTCTACCAATCTCTTATTTGATTCTGCATGGAATAATGTTGTCATATTTGGACTGGTTCTTTTAATAATGCTCATTCTCTTTTAGACAAGGTCCAAAAACACATAGTAAATGTAGTTGGACCTGCTTTATCTGCCAAGCTTGAATGATTCTCCCATTGTCGTAAAGCTGCATCTACACTTTCCTACAAATACTACCATGGTTGCTGCTCAAAGTAACTTATCATCTCTAATTCCATCAACCAAAACTCGACTCGCCATTCAGCAAAGTCTTATTTTTTTACAGCATTTGTTCATGCATGCTCTAAAAGCATCTTCAAATTCACGCTCTTCAAATCTTTGGCTCTCTATCTCATCTTCATGTTTTCCGGACTTTTACAAACTGGAACTTTTCAAGTCTTCTGCCATTTCCTTGCTCTTTAACTCTTTGTTAATTCTTTCAACCTTTTGTTTTCTAGCAACTCCCAACCTAATAGTGCTTGCTTGCAGCATTGTTGGGAGTGAATTTTAAATTATAACAAAAAATATAAATATCAAAATTAGTGATAATAATTTAAAAAAAAAAAGTATAATCTATAATTACTATCAGAAATATAACAGTAAAAAATAGAAATAACATAGGGAAATAAAATAAGGAAATAATAATAAGATAAGGAAAGAACTTATAAGTTAAGTAACATAATATTTGTACTTTTATGAGAAAATCCAATTTTTATGACCCAGCAATAATAAAAACAAAAACGATCTACAAAAATCTAAAAACTATTTAAAAATTGAGTAAATTTACTCACCATTCCATGCAACGTTTCTGGTGCACCTTTAACTGCCACAATATAGTTTGTTGCAGATGAATCTGCTGAATGAACAGAGGCAATCACAGACATGCGTTTTAAGTTACTAGTGAAATGAAACCGATGATCAATTTTTAAAGATTGTCGAAGACCTTTGCGAGACATGCACAAATCACCTATAAATTGTTTTAAAAAAATTACCTGGGAAATACTTGATACATAAAATACCATTTAAATAACTTCAACTATATCCTTACACCTTTAAAATATTAAACCAAACTAAAATATTTGAATAACAGATAATGACTAATAGAAAAGTTTGATTTTGACATTATACAAAAATGATTTTGGCATTAGACATGTTTTTTAGATATATAAACAAATTTAAAAAAAACAAAAACAATAAACAATGCAGAAGCTGTAAATGTTTTTAGCATAAAATGTTTAAAGAATTTTTTGCTATAATGACATATTCAATGATATTTGTTATAATGATATATTAAGTGATATTTGTTATAATGGCATATTCAGTGGTATATAGATTGTAAAACAAAATTTTTTTTACTAAATTATTGAAGATTAAAATCTCAAGATACTTTTTGTAATTTAAGAAACTTTAAAAAAATGAAATATGAAATAAATTACAATTTTTATATATATAAAAACTACATATGTAAAATCTTTAGTTTCCAGAATAGTTTTAGTAAAAACAGTTTTAGTAAAAATTTTGGTTTTAGGAATACCTTTTGATTGGGAACAAAAGTACACACACCCAAAAAAAAAAAAAAAACAATTTTGAATATACTTTTATAAATGTGTAGATTATAATTATTAAAAAATAGTATAACAAACAAATATAAAAATTCAGGGTTAATGAATTTCTCAAAGATCTTTTCCCTCAAATTCTGTCAATCCTTTTACTCTTGAGTTTTGCTTAAAGACATATTTTTCCCTGAGTTTTGCTTAAAGACATATTTTTCCCAAATGCTGGAAAATCATGCAGAAAAACTTGAACAGAGTGCATAAGAGTCAAAAATGGAAATAATATAAAAAATAATAAGATTTTTAGTATTGAAGTAGTATATTGAAAACTGTCCCATGCAACTGCAGAGAAGTGAATGTCTAAACAAAGATTATTATTTTTCTTTGTATGCAATATTGCTGTCTTATCTGAGCTTGGTCTTCTTGTAATCTCTTTTCTCATTAAGACAGAGTGTAAACATTGTTGTGCTCTATTAACCAAATTAATACTAATGTTTACAACCTTATTTTTTTAAACTCCTGTTCAAATAAAAGAATTTTGTCAGATAAGTTAGGGGTATAAAATGTAATATAAAAATGAATTGGACAAAACACATTAGAAAAGGAAATATACGCACCATTTTGTAATTGACCATAACCCAATGTACATAATACATTGCAAAAAACTAACCATTCACTTAATGTTATAAATCAAACAGAAATATCAATATTTAATGAAATTGCTAAGATAATCTTTAATTTTTTTAGTTCTGTAGTTTAATTTACTTTTTTAATTTACTATTTTATTTTGATCTTGATATTTTTGATATTTTTTTAATTTACTATTTTATTTTAATCTTGATATTTTTGATAATTTTTTAATTTACTATTTTATTTTTTTTTAATTTACTAAAACACAAATTCCTTAATACATATTAAAAACCCATACATAAATTTTACAAGTTATATATAAAATTTATATTAAATATTCAAAATTTATTTTTACTATATAGAAAACCAACTAATATATAATATATAGAAATCAAGAGATTCAAAATAAAAATAAAAAATAAAAGATTTGGCATGCCATTTTTAAATTGCTAAAATATTTGGAATAACTGTTTTTGAGAGGTTTGACATGCCATTACTAAGTTGCTGAAATCACAAACCTTTTGAGAGAGTCCAATTTATTGCATTAAGAGCAGCTTTTTCCATCGGGTCACCAACTAATGTTTCATCAACATATGTAAGTGAATGACAACATGCAAGAACATGTACTGTACTAATTGGAATATCGCTGACTGGCAGAATTTTTTGATCATCACTTAAATTAAATAAATTCAAATAATTTTTTTATTAGTAAATAATAAACAATAATTACATATAGAGTAATTAAATTACAATCATTAGAGTTAATTAATTAGGAAGTTAAAAAATCAATTCAGAAACTATGTACTTCTATTATCTGTTAATGCTGATTAAGTATTATTAGTACTGAAACAGGAATAAGCAGGGACTAACAATCAGGAACTAACAATTAGGAACTAACAATCAGGAACTAACAATCATCAAATAAATGGTTAGTATAACAGCATGTAGTATTTTTATGCATTTTTATTTATTTTAGTATTTTTATTTATAATTATTAGATTTATAAAATAATATTTACATTTATTAAGTAATATATTACAACATCAACAAAATCAGTTGTTGTTTTTTTTTTTTCATTATTTTTATTGTTTTCTGAAAAACATTTGCAGCTGACAAAAAAAATACTTACTAAGATTGTTCTCTTACTAAGATTAATTAAACTTAAGAACTCCACCAGAAAGTGACTTACAACTCATAACTTTATATTTTTTTGATACTTTTGTTATATTTGATGCAGGTAATTTGCAGAGCTTGAACTAGACTGAGCAATGAAAGCCCACAGAGAAATATGAAACATTTCTTTTAAAAAAACCTTTTTTATAAAGGAGGATAAGTAATAAAAACAAAGGAAAACAAACAGATGTTCAGAATAAACACAGATTCATTTAAAAAAGAAAAAGTTTATACGCAAATCATAGTCGACAGTAAATTAAATTATACCTAAAACAAAATAGGACACATAAGTAACCATAAATCTTTATTAAATACAAAAGGTTACCTTACTTTAAAATAAATATACATATGCATATCAATATATTATAAATGAATAAATATAAAATGATAGGATGTATAAGATAAAAAAATAATAATTTTGTATTTGTATAATCATAATTAAATAATTTTGTGTTTGTGTAATAAACTTGCAGAGATTGCATTTATTATTATTAGTGTTTTGAAGAGGCACAGCAGCAATACCTAGTTTATCCTGACAGATATACATCACCATTTATGCTTTGCCCTCCGATTTACGCCTACTCCATACTACAGTAAAAAAGGACTTTACTACAAGCAGCCAAAACCCTAACTTCATCCAAATTTGTAAAGCGCTAATATTTTTGAAGAAATAATATGGATAATGAGAGATATGAGTTCAATACCAAATAATATAACAAATTTAAAATAATAAATTATATATATATAAATATATATATATAAATATATATAAATATATATGTATATATATATATATATATATGTATATATATATATATATATATATATATATATATATATATATATATATATATATATATATATAAAATAAGACAAATATATAGAATAAAATATAAATAAAAACTTTAACAAAAATGAAAAAACACAGTCGACTAAAATGTGAACTATAATATAAAATAATAAAAATTATTATATTCTAATAGAAAACTGCAAAACACTCAACTACACTACCAATGCTAAAATTGAAACATTAATCGCTATTAATGTTCAATTTGGTTCCTCATAAAGATTGCGCTTATATACTACACAAAAACATGTGTAATGCTCTGTAATTACTTTTGCTGATTTAAATAATGCTGAGTACATTTTTGTAAAGTTCAAATGATGATAAAGTTCGAATGATGACAAACTTTATTTGTGAAGTTAAGTCTTTTTAATAAAACTTCTAATTTAACTATTTGAGTGAGTCCCGTAATAGAATAAAAAACTCAAATAAATATTTGTTTGAGGGCGTCAAAGTAATTAAAATGTAAAATAAATTATGTTATTTATAGTTATGTCAAAAGCAGTCAGTTATCTATTATCAAATTAAATTTTAATTAGCAACGCAAAAAGATTATTCTTGCTGAGAATTTTTGCGTTTCTGAAAAATAAGATTGTTTTTCAAAAAATAATACACCAGCAATCAAAACTAGATATATTGAATATATCTATATAATAATACTGAACTTAATAGTAGTGCCCTTTTGATGTTTTTGATAGCCTGTTTAATACAGAACTCTTGGCAGCCATTGCAACCAAAGTAATGGCTAGAAAGTGTTGCAGCAGCTTTGTTTTATAAGAAAACGTGATCAAAAGTGCATGCAAATATCTAACGTAAGTAAACTTCAAATTATGTAATGTTAAAAGATACTAAAACATATATCAGGTTTTACAGTTTTACTTTCAATTGAAAACTGCATTTTGTCAACCTCTCCTTAATTTCGATCTATAGCATTTATTTTCAAGAAAAAAGTTATTATTTAGTTTTCAAATTTCATAAGTCAATGTGCCAGTGTGGCCAAGTGGTTAGCAAGCAGAGCTTCTTAAAAAACAACCCCCGGTTCGAGTCCTACCAATGACAACTTTATTTTTTTAATTTTTCAAGATTTTTAAAAGTAAAATGTACTTGTGAACTTTTATAAAGATTATATACAAACATATGTGACAATATTATACACTTTAACAAACAAAAAATTTTTTAAAAAAGCTGAAAATTCTAAAAACATCAAAAACCGGAGGGAAATTTGGTGCGTATGTGTCATGATTGAGATACTTATGTTAGTTTTACATTTCAAGTTTTTTTTACAACCGAGTTAAGTTTGTGCAAGGAAAATGAGTATAAACAATATGTTTATATATAAAATCTATAGAACTATAAGGTTGTTTTGTTATAGCATTTTAAATAACAAAATTTAAAAAAAAAAACAAGCTGATGATTTAAACTTGCCACGCGGCAAGCTCAACTTTTTTTAAAACAATAAGGGGGTTTATATAATAAACCATTTTTTTAAATTTAATAGTTTTAAAAATAATTAAAAGTTAAAATTATTTAATATTGATATAAAAAAGAAACTTAGAGTTTTACAGCTATTTTACCATGCCCCCATTAAACATTCTAAACCGAGTGCGCAACAACTAAAGAATTTAGATAACGATCAAAATAGTTTACTCCATTATTTTTTGGCTTAACTTTTTGGCTTAAGATTAGGGACATCTCCTCCTTTTTTTTTTTTTTAAATAAATTTAGTGTTGCATAATTTATGGACATTCCTTTCGCATTTTATAGTTTAGTTTTTAATGGTTTAAGATCATCATAGTTCTATTATTTGTATAGTGTTGTATACAAACGTCTGTAAGTGTAAATGTTGTTAGCATGTGTTGAGTTTGCAGGCAGTATATGGAACAATCATGTATAATAGATCAAAAAACTTTTGAGTTTTATTTTAACAATTAGAAAACTTTTTTGCTATACTATTATTTTTTTGCTGAAAATATTGCTTTAATTATTATAGATATACAATATTATAAAAATTTTGCTATAAGTATTGCTGTAAATACAGCAAGATATTCAAAGTTTATTAGGAGACATCTTAAATCCCCCATAACGACACGGATGACAGCGCACTAAACCACTGATATCAATGATATGCATTTAGGAGAAAAATAAACCTTATTATAAATCTCTTATAAGCTCTAGGTCTTCAGAAAAGATGCACTTGTTAATTTTTTTGCTTTTAAAGCAATTTTTTGAAATGAATTATTTTACATAAAAATATTGAAGTAAACAAATAACAGGTATAGAAATGATCGGTGTGGAATATATAAGTATAGAAAAAGTAAGTTTAGTAAAGGTCAGTATTTTATAAGTCCAAAAAGCAAGGTATACAAGGTATATATAAAGAAAAATAGACTTACAAAGACCCGTATTTTTATGGGTCAGGTCAGCTAGTAACAACTAATTATATAGGTGTATGTGTACATGAGCTATTGTGCCTCATCATTCAACTTGCTGAACACGGATCTGCTCCCCATGATACGAGGTAATCTGAATTGTATAAAGTGAGAGTACATCTTAAGCTAATAAAAAATTTTAATGGACTTATAAAAAACTTTAGCTAATAAAAAATTCTATAAGCCTAAATATAACTTTTTAGCCTCTAAACTCATTCACTTATAATTTTTTAATTACTTTATAAAAAGCCTCAAATTGTTGCATGAGCTTGGTGCTGAGCTCGAAAAGAGAGGCTTCCATCTTGACAGAAATGACTTTATATACCCTGTTTCAGAAAAACTTTATATACTCGGTTTTTGCCAAAACAGAACAAATTGTTTGAAGGAAAGAGAATCCCCACACCATTCCAATCAAGTTGATGCGAGCCCAAAACGATCTTCATTCAAGTCACATGGATGATCCATTTTGTACAGCAACTATAAAGAATGTAGAAGAAGTTTGCTCTTTTTTAGGCCCTAAAGATGCGTGCTTCATAAGGCAAGACAATAAAACTTGGATCCCAATTAGAATCATCGCTGCTAACAAACAAGCTTCTATATTAATGCATATGGAATTTTGAGTTTCTCTTCCTGATCATGATTGGGACATTGCTACAAAGCACAAGCTCATCCTATCTCTCTATGCAAGCATTGAAATCAAACCAGATGAGCTTGAAAAATCTGATGCAGTTCCCTATTTCCATCCCACTTATATTACTGTTCAATCTGGAAAGCATTCATCATTGACAGTGTATGCTCACAGTTTCGACTTTGAACAACTTTTGACTCTGCCAGTGTTCGATTCCATTACAAAAGACCCTTTGACCAAGTTGGTCAAGCCAGTGGTTGTTTTCAGTGTTAATTTAGCAGGGTTGATTTTCCTTCATGATCATTATTGAACTCATCTAGACTATCAATGAATTCAAATTCATTTTTAACATCAACTCTTTATCAAAATGCAATATATATAGCAAGACTAAAGGAATTAACTATCTGCATTGCGACTTATATTAAAGGCAGGACAGTTGATTTCTGCCCCCACCTATTCCAATCTGCCAGTCAGAAGATGGCTTGAAAGCTGTAGCCATTTCAGATATCCCCAGCAACAATCATTTTCCTTCTGTATTTTTTCAGGTCTAAAAGAACAAACAATTGAAACAAACATGGAAATACCAAATAAGCTACTGAATGATAATCAAACACAGAAAAATGTAATTCATGTAAAAAATTTCAATAAAAATGCTTAAATTAAAAGCGAATTTTGTTTTAAAAAATAAAGAGAAAAGGAGCAAGGGTTCCAATCTTATGACATCCTATTTAAGAGGGGTATAGGAAAAAAAGACAACCAGTGACAAAGGGGGGATGGGGTCAAAAATTGTCTAAAAAATGGTGACATTCTTTTTGGACAGCCTATGCAATAACATACTTTTTGAAATTTGAAGGAGAAGCACAAAATTATAATGAACAGGTATTATTTTGCTGCAATACACAAAAAAGTAGCTGTAGATGGAGTCACAGTAAAGCCTGTTGCTAAAAAAAATGTTTATATTTCATGTTATCAGAAATTGTACCATTTTAACAGCCAAAAATTTGGCAACAGATATAAACAATTTACTGTCATTTCGTTGATAAATTTTTTTTAAAGAAACAAAGATAACTAAAGAGTTGTCAAAATTATTGTTATGTGTTAAATATAAATATTATGAGTGAGCAACTTTAGTTTTAAATTTTAATTTAAATAATAACAAAAAAAAAACAGTTGTAGATAAGTCTAAACTTATTTAATAATTCATTAAAGAAGGTAACATCATGGTAGTATTATTTTGCCATTAATAATAAACAAAACCTGTGTTTAAGCTAATAATTAACACAGTTAAGTCACATGTAAGTATAAGTTTTAATGTGGTTACTCAGTTCATACACAGCTACCTGATATTTAAAGGGCAAACTTTTAGAAACCCACTGTCATTTTTAAACACAAGTTAAAAAGTTTTCGTTTAGATTATAACACTTGATTAAAAAAAAATAAAATAATAAAAAATATATATATATATATTTTGTCTAACTATGCAGTCAGTAAGCAGAGATATATAAAAGTTTGACAGGATAAAAATCCACGCAATAAAAGCATATCAGACATCAATTGTTAGTAACTGCTTTTAATTAAAAGCAGTTACTAACAATTTTTTAGTTAAAGAATAAAACCACTCATTTCTATACAAACAAAAAAAAACCTTTAAAGAAGTTAAAAATCTTTAAAAAAGTTTAAACATTTATATCAAATGCTGTTAATAAATCAAGATAATTTGCCTTTAAAATTAATTAAAATGTCAATTCTTAATAATCCAATTTAAAAAAAAAATGTTGCAAACAACATGCTAAGAATAAAAAAACAACCAACAGGCATATCTATGGTTACAAATTTAGTCAAACAATGAATTTGGTTATCAAGCAAATTTTAAGTTTCAAGATAATTTTTAAACTAAAAACAAAAATTCCATACTTTACACCGGCAACACCTTCTATAACAAGATCATCACTTGTCAACGTTCCAGTTTTATCAAAACAAACAACGTCAACTTTACCGGCAAATGGAATACGAAAAGGCTCTGTACAAAAAACTCCTAAAACAAAACAATAAAAAAAATAGAAAATACAAAAACAATAGAAGAAAAAAAAAATTATTAACATAATTCAAAAATAGTCTCAACAAAACATTATTTAAATGAAACATGAATGAAATTAAAAAAGGCAGAGAAAAAATAAAACAATGGAATGTGATTATGAGTTCCACATAACAGAACTTGAAATTTTAATGAAAATTTGACTTTAAAAGAAGTAATATTATACCATTAACTTTTATTCTGAGTTACTATTTATTAAATTAATTTTATTCTTTAGAAGTTTCTGTTATATATTTTCTTTATAAATTCTATTATAAGTTACTTATACTTATTCTGAGTTTTTATTACAATAATACTCTAACAAGAGAAGAACTTCTTTTTTTATTCAAAAAACTTTGATATAAATACTTCAATCTTTTCTAAATTTAAATACTAAAAAATAGTAAATTTAAATAATTTCTAAATTTATTATTTTTAAACCCCCAATGAATCTTTTTATGGCTGGCATATTCATAAATTAATATCTTAAATAAAAGTTCATTTTTTTAATATTTAAACTATACCTTCACTAAAATAAAGACATTAAATAAACTACCTGGAGAATTGTTTTAATGAAAGGTGTAATTGATTTGAAAACTGCGATATTTTTCCAAAACAATCAAACTGTACCTTTTTCTTTTGGAAAATAGATTTTATTTATGAAATCTATTTTTCTATATGGTACAATCACATATGGTACACAAATCTACTATTAACATGTAAACTACCTAGTTTTGTGAGAGCAATTAAAGATGAGTTCACAGCTAGCGACAATTCGATGGGAAGTTCTGGTGGTACAACAGATGTTAAAATCAAAGTGCATTCAAGAAATAATTTGTAGCGGTTACGTCGAGGATCTGCTGTACCTGTGTTAAAAATTTTATATTATATACTTATTTATGTCATAATGGATTATTAAACAAAGTAATAAAATAAATTAAGTGCTTTTTTACAATATATAAATATATATATATATATATATATATATATATATATATATATATATATATATATATATATATATATATATATATATATATATATATATATATATATTAGGGGTATGACTTTCTGGTAACCCCATGTTTCTGGGTCATAAATCGATGAATATTTGTTTAAAATTAATGAAAAAAACATTAATTCGATTTTCTTGTTCAAAAAGGTTAATCATCAAGCCCAAAATTTAAATTTACCGTATATGCTTATGGATAAAAATTCAAACAATTTTGTGATTATTATTTTTTAACTCTGACTTTTTTAATTGGAGAGTTATTAGGTAGTTTTTAAGCATTCAACAGTTATATCAAATGTTGTTGTTACATCATAACAGTCAAAATAACAAATAAATATAAAATTACAAACTTAAATAACAACTCTACATGAACAAAAAGCTACTGTATATATCAAAAAAAATGTTGTGTAGTACTCAGCTTAATTAAAGTGTAATATACAACTCTTATGCTTTGTTAGACAAAATAAATCTAAGCTGGAGATTCTATTTTTTTAAAGATTTTTAAAAAAGATTTTTACAACACTCAATAGCTTGTTCTGCATATTGATTTGTTTTGCATATTGATTTGTTCTGCATATTGATTTGTTCTGCATATTGATTTGTTCTGCATATTGATTTGTTCTGCACATTGATTTGTTCTGCACATTGATTTTATTTGGGAATATTAAGTCTTGATAGTTCCTATTACCAAAACATTTTATTACAAGTCATTACAAAACACTTTTTTGTGACCGTGCAAGCTGCTAGGTAGCTTCGGAAAATCATCTGCATTGTACATTTAGTCAGACACCAGTGGGCTGTCAATCTGAATGAGATAAATCTACTAATGTGGAGTAGTGAGTCCTTTGTGAGTGAGTCCTTTCTCTCTGATAGAAAAAGAGCTAGTATTGCTCGGGAATTCTTGTATTATTTAATATAAGTATTTTTCTGAAACTTCATTTTAGGAAATACCCCAGCTTTGTTAAAAAAAAGGAAATCCGAGTTAAACGAAATAGAAATTTTATATTATCACACCATCCTACTGTTTTAGTAATCACTTCTTTTTCATTCTTGAAATTCTTCCTAACTGTTTGTATTTTTTTACAAGTTCCTGGATAAATGGATATTCGATATTGGGCAACATGTTGTTTCCTTCTTTATCCGTTACTAGGCGAAGAACTGGGTCAAGAGCATGATGTTGAAAACCATGTATTTTGGTACATCTAGTTTTTTTCCAGTAAAACATTTTTATAACTTTATACATCTTTTAAATTGACTGATAACCCCATTCCTTCATTCAGTGTTTACATTCATAGTGCCCACTACAATCATCTTTATACTCTTCCATAAATTGTATTCATCAAGAATAGATGTTATACTTTTAATAATAGTACCTGCTTTTCTTTTTGGTCTTGCAACTTAACTTATCTTTGTTTATTTTTAAACATTACTCTTTCTAAATTTGGTTGCAGCTCTTGCTGGTACTTGTGAACTATTCTTCTGAATCTTAGACTCTTGATATTCTGCCTCAGACTCAGATTCAGAAGTTAATGCTTTTGCCATAGCCATTACTATTGTTAAAATAGGCTTCAAGGACTTTTTCTTCTTTTGGTTGGATGGATAGTTATTGAACTAGCAGCCATCCCAGTTGTTGCTTGACCTGTCTTTTGCTTTCAATCTGAAGATGATACAATCTTCTGTCCTCACCGCAGAACCATTCATCATCATTTTTTGCGATTGTCAAAAACATCATTTAATGGATTGTATTTTCCTTGTTTTACACATTTATAGTTCACTTTGATCCAGTTTTGCTAACTGGACCAAGTGAACAACTTGAATTGATAAATTTAAAAAAAAAAAATTTTTTTTTTTCTAAAAACTTGTTTTTTCTTTCTCAATTTGCTTTATGCATTCTCACCTCATTTTGATGGAATTTCCAAAAAAAAAAAGATAAAAACCAATAACTCAGATTTTAATCCTGCTGTTTTTTTCCAGTGATTGTTCTTCTAGTGGAACAGTTTTTTTTTCCTATGTGACTAAAAAATTCGTACAAAATTCTTCATCCAGGTCTTCTTGTTTCTTTCAGTAGTAAAAGCACTTTTTTATAGGACATTATGATTCAAGATAATACTTGAATATATTTCTGAAAAGCATCAATAATAAATATAAGTGTTATTGTACTTCGTTATAAGTTTAACTACCCTCTGGCAAATACAGATTTATACATGATTATAAGGGTTATTTGATCAGGCAGTTTATATGGCCTAAATCTTGCTAATTTCCATAAACTTCCACAAAACTACAGAAAAATCTAGAAAATTTCAGAGATTTCTAAAAACAGCCCAGAAAATTCTAGAAAGCTCCATAAGGTTCAAGAAAATTCTAAGCTTCATAAATCTACTGCCTGCAAATACTACTTATACATAACTTTAAAAATTTTATGTTGTGGGTGACCTTTTTTGAAAATCAGAATAAACTCATTACTTTTGAGCAAAAGTTTATTGATTTATGACACAGGAAACTAACTATTAAAAAAAAAAGTTAAAAAGTCATAACCTATATATATATATATATATATATATATATATATATATATATATATATATATATATATATATATATATATATATATATATATATATATATATATATATATACAATGAATATAAAATTTTACAGGTTGCTGACCTTTGATCCAAACATAACTAGCTGCAGCTATTGCAAATATTAGGAGGAAGCCTATAAACAGGAGCGTTTCTAGGTTATTTGCTGTAACTCTTTTAACACCATATAATATAGTCTTCAACAACTTTCCCTAAACATTTCCATATACATTTTATCTCTTAAAAAGATCAACTAAAAGTACTTAAAATAATAAAATTAATTAACAAAAACTGTAATTAAAATATTTAAGACAAATATAAAAATGCTATGATATAATAATGCTACTATGATGTATAATAATAATACTAATAATAATGAATAATAATAATACTAATGATATCATAACAATACTATGATGTAAAAATAAATTGAAGTAATATATAGTATAAAATATAAAAATTTCAAAAGTTCTAAACTAACTTGTGATGTTGAGAAACCTGTTTTAAGTACATAACCAATGCAACCATTATCTGGAGCTAAAATAATTTTTTTATTTAGTAAAACATTTTAAAAAATCAATAATATTATTAATAATATTACTAGGTCATTACATGCAAGGTCATATATTAGTCAATTATTAGATCCTTATTTTAACCTAGTAAATTATCAAATTTTGTTCTTGACAAAAGTAGATCAAAAAAGAAAACTGGAATGTGCATGTTGTAGGAATAAATAAATTTTAGAATTATATCAACAGTTTAGCAAGGTGTACAAAATGGATTAATATACGTAACAGCAAAAATTTATAAAAGGAGTAGTTGAATATTTTCAAAATTAAAAAAAATGGTTTTCGTTAGGTAATTTAAAAATAATGAAATTAACAGTGAAACAAAAGTAATAATAAAAATAGCAAGATTACACTTTAAGCCAGCCATTGTTTTTGATGGTGGAGTATGATTGACAACTTTGGTTCCTCCACTCAGTATATGAAGTTTGCTGTGATCCTCAATATTTAATATATCATTACCTGGATTCGACTCGATAGGTTCCTAAAATAAATATTTACATAAATAACTTAAAAAACTCACTTTTCAATTTTTCCAACAAAATTAATTTACTATTGAAAATTTAGAAAACAAAATCTTGAATTATTAAAAATAAATAACAGCACAGAAAGTAAATAAAAATAAAAATAAAAAAATAAATAAATAACAGTAAAGTGATAAATAAATTAACTTAAAAAAATATTCATAAATTAACTGACTTATGCATATTAGAATAATAATGACATGAATGGTAATAATGGAAATAAATAATGAAAACTTATTTTAAATCATATTCAATAGAGGTTAAAAAAAGAATATGGTATTTACAAATTAAATAAATAATTAAAAAGATGTTAGTTGATTGCTTGTTTTTAAGACTAAAGTGATCAGCCATGTTAAAAAAAAAAGTTATTATCCTGAGTTTGCTATTTCTTTCAATATTTGTTTACATATGTCATCTTGCTGGGTTTAAGAATGAAATTTTTTTAATTTTAAAACCTAAATCAGTTCAGATTTATCCTAACTGGCTAACTAACTATTCTAATTTTAATGTTCAAAATAAAATTGTGATTCTCATATATACAGAAAAGTTTAATTGGAAAATATGGCACGCTTATCCATTTCCTGATTATTCCACCTCATGTGGATGCAACTTTCAGGGTTGTCAATTAACATATGACAAAAATCTTTTCAACCAAAGTCAAGCAGTTATTTTCAATGCAAAGGATCTTCCGCCACACTCATTGTTAGAACAATTGGAAAGAAAGAAAACAAAGCAACAGCTTTTTATATATTACACAAAAGAAAACCCAATTAATGTCCAAAACTTTAACACTTCTAAACAGTTTTTTAACTTGTTTTCCACATACCGCTTGGATTCTGACATTCGCATACCCTATCGATACCACTTTTCAAAACAAAGTTTTTACAATAATGTAAATCTAGCAAAAAATAAAACCAAACAAATAGCATGGGTAGTAAGCAATTGTGGTCAATTGAGGGATAAACTTGCAAATAAACTACAGGAATATGGCGTGAATATATATGTTGCGGGTGCATGTTCGCAACTTTATAAGCATCGATTTCATTGTTATAAGAGAAACTGTAACAGTGAGCTAAAAAAATTCAAATTTTACTTTGCTGCAGAAAATCATCTATGTAAAGACTACATAACAGAAAAATATTGGTATAATGCACTAAATGCAGAAACTATACCAATCGTTCTAGGGGGAGCAAATTATTTTGACTCTAGGCTTGCAATTCCCAACTCATTTATTGATGCAACAAAGTTTGCAACTGTAAAAGATTTAGCAAATTTTATAAAAAAAGTTGACAATGACGATAAAAAATTTAACGATTTTTTTACGTGGAAAAAACACTGGGAGTTGTCCAATGAAAAAAAAGGATGTAGTTATTACATGTGCAACTTGTGTCAACAGCTGCATGCTGGGATAAACAAAAAAATCTCAGAATTTGTATTTACTGATGATGATTGTAAAACCAAAGAAGATCATTTTAATAAATGGATAGAGTTCATCTAAAAATCATTTGTGAAGTAATTGCAGAATATTTTGTTTTATATATGTTTTAAGATATTGTTGACATATATAGGAGTATTATTCATCAAATAAATTATAATATAATTCTGTTGGACGATGAAGTGACATATGACTAATATTTAATAATGTATAAACTTTGTTAAAACTAATGTTTAAAATTAATATGTCAATAATATAAATATAACAACAAATCTAGAAATATTTATTTCAGTATTAGATTAAATATATACTATATTATAGTAAACATCTATAACTGTTAATTATATATCATACATGCTTATATCAATACAATATCAATATCATACATGCTTATATCAATATAATATCATACATGCTTATATCAATATAATACCATAGATGCTTGTATCTAATATATCAATAATATAAATAATATAACAACAAGTCTAGTAAAAGTTATTTCAGTATTAGATTATTAAACATATATTATAGTAAACTTCATCTGGGAATTAATTTTAATCATTTTCTAAAACCACTAGAATAAAAGTTACCAAAAAATTAGGGTAAAATATTCTAATAGCCAACCCTCAGGATTAGGTTCGGCATTCGGCAAACTCGACAAAACCCAATGGCCGACCTGAGGTTGACAAAAAATTGCTGACCACGTTTCTAAGATTTTAAAAGCTTTTTTTGTTTCCAATACATAAAAAATATATAAAAAAAATTTTTTAATTTATTTATTTAATCAACAACCAAAAAAAAAAACACACATATATAACACACATATATTTATTACATATATATTGAATAAAACTTACTTTCATTTGTGGTACAGCTTCACCTGTTAACATAGATTCATCTACAATGCAAGATCCACGCAACAGAAGCATATCACAAGGTACCATCACGTCACATTTTGAACGAACTTGCAATTAAAATAAATAGCATAAAAACATAAGCTAAACAATGTACTTTTTACCTTTTATTACAAAAACAAAAGTTAGTTAAAAGATAATGTATTTTTGTTTCTTAACAAAAGTATTAAATTTTCTCCAAAAATAGCCAGATTTAACTAATTTAAGAACAAAAAAACCTAACTTGCATCGTCATAGGGTTTCTATTCTATAAATACTATAATGGCTACTGTAAATAAAAATAAAATTTTATATATCCAGTTTCATTTTTCAAATAATTAAAAACATCTGTTTGCTTGATTTACATCTAAACCTCCATCATGTTTGATTTACAGCTTCTCCTCCATCATGTTTGATTTACATCTTAACCTTCATCATGTTTGCTTGATTTTTAAGATATTTAACTTTAAAGTATGAGATTTAAAAATGAGAAAAGAAAATCTTTTCAAAAATAATTAAAATCACTGTTTTTTACAAATTTATTAAATTTTATTTAAATTTAAGAAATTAAAGAAAAAAATTTTATATTTATATTTTTTTTCTTTATTTCTAAAAAATAATCGTACATTACTGGTGATAGTGCCCATTAACTTCTGCACAACTGTAATTTTCTTACTTATGGTTGACCATTCCTTCAGCAATTCTTGTACTGAATTAATAGTCTTGCCTGTTTTATGCAAATATCCTTTTCCAATACTAGCGATTTTAAAAAGGTTGCCTGTCCAAAAAGCAAGTATAGCCCTTCTCCTCTCTAAATTAAGTATTTATTTATGTATTCTTGAAGATTTGATGCTAAGGAAATTTGTTTTAAAACTATGTATGTATTATATGCTTTTTTTTTCGCGTATTTTATGATGTTTTTTGTTTTGATTTTTGCATTAGTTTACCAAGTCTTAGTCTAAGTTATAAATAAATTTTTGCATTTGCTTTATGAAATTTGATGTGTTTTTTTTTACTAAATTTTAATCTTAAATATTAGCTCAATTATTTAGCTAATATTTAAGTTTCTCATTAATGAAAAAAAACAAACATCAAACTTCATATATGTTTTTTATCAACATTGTTGACAACAAACAAAAATGCTGGAAAGAACAAAGGTTTTTATACCATTTAAAGCAGTTATATATTATTTTCATAAAATGAACCATCCTATTTAGCTAATATTTAAGTGAATAAGAAATAATTTAAGGGTGTGAATAAGATATAATCCTTATTAAGCTTTAATTTAAGGATGTGAATAAGAAATAATTCAAGGGTGTGAATAAGAAATAATCTTTAATTTGAGGATTATTTCTTAACAACATCCTTAAATTAAGGCTTAATAAGGATGTGAATTAAGACTTTATAAGGATTCTTATTCACATCCTTATTAAGATTTAATATAAGGATGTGAATAAGAAATAGTTTAAGGATGTGAATAAGAAATTATCCTTATAATGAGGATTATTTCTTATGAATAAGAAATAATCCTTATAATAAGGATTATTTCTTATGAATAAGAAATAATTCTTATAATAAGAATTATTTCTTATTCACATCCTGAATGTGAATAAGAAATAATCCTTATTAAGGCCTAATAAGGATTATATATATATATATATATATATATATATATATATATATATATATATATATATATATATATATATATATATATATATATATATATATATATATATATATATATATATATATATATATATATATATATATATATATATATATATATATATGTGTGTGTGTGTGAATAATTAATTTAAGGACCTTAAATTAATTATTCACATCATTAGTTTAATTCTTATATATAGCCTTATTATTCCTTATTAAGGCTTAAGGATTAATAAGGATAATAAGAATAAATTTCACCTTCAATTTCATATTTAGAATTCGAATATAACTTTATTTGAATTCTAAATATGAAATTAAAAGTGAAATTTTTTATTTTGTATTCATTACATCTTCTATTAATTTGTCTATTTTGAAAATAAGGGAGATTAATTCAGGAAAAATCAGGTGATTAATCAAATCACCAGATAATAAAGTTAGTTGGTGATCCGAATTGAAAACTGGGAGATTCTATTCATAAACTTGAGCTTCAAGAAGACAATCATCAGTATAACTTGATATAGACTTTTTTACAATATAAGTTTGAGTAACAGAGCTTGAAAAAACATCATTAGCTTTTTTCAAGTTTAAATCAGAAAATAAAATTTTAGAAGCAGAAACATCTTTAACAAATTCTCTAGAATTTGTTCCAGAAGATGTTTAGCTAGAAGTAGGGATAGAACAATTAACAGAAGGTAGCAAATCATCAACATTATTAAATCATGCAAGATTAACTTTTTATTTTAACTATCTATTTCCAACAAGACTGAAAGCAACCACTTTTAGAGTATGAATGGAGAGTATTGCAAAAATTATTATTATATTATCGTATATAAATACTAACTTAGCCATAGTTTGTATATAAGGTTTTTATGAGAGGTCAGTACAAAAAGATAATCAGAGACAATGTAAAGTAGAAGACACAGTAAAAATAATGCCCTTCATCAATATAGAAATATCAACAAGATTGCGGAGACTTTTTAAAGACTTTGCTAGATATACCATATCATCCAGGGCAATAGAATTTGCCTCACCCCTATGTAATTATAATTTCAAACCTTTCTGTAACAGTTAACAGGTCAACTCCAAATCAAGATGATTCAAGTCTATATGTTTCTTATGTTATCGACAAATAGAGCCACCTTTTTAGGATGATCAATAATGTTGCTTTTCATCTGTGATCATTTATGTTGGTTAGAAACAGCAAAGGGCTGAGGATAGAAGTTAACCTTGTCAGCTAAGTATTGACACTAGTGTGAATTTGCAGCGTTTAGTGCCACAGGGTCTGTATTTTTTGTGATTGTGATGTTATTGTTGTGATGTTTTGTGTTGATAGACAACTTGGCTTACCTTCTCGCTGGTGTCTATCATTAAATATGATTATTAGTTTGTTTCCTTACTGAGACTTGCTACTTCTAATCATTCACTAAAAGCCAAGAGATAAGTTGTAGAATAAACTCATTTTTCTTTTAATGTTGTTTTTGTTGTTTTTATCTTAGATGTTGTCAATAATTCATATAAACATTCTCAAAGAGTAAGTTTCTTATTTTATATTTATTTAGTCTTAATTGTTAATTTATAATTTTTTTAATTTTAAATTTTTAAAACAAATTAACAAATATTTTCAAAAAATTGTGTATCTGCGTTTTTAATAATAATTGTATTACAATTTTAGGTTGAGTTCCTGCTTTTACACCTGCTATTGCTGTTTTAAGTAGTCAAAATTTTAGGAAGTTCTATTGCTGTAAGTTATTTTCATTCAAATTTAAATTTTAACTTTATTAAAGAATCTTTTGTCTGTTTGATTCTGAATGATTTAAATATATTTCAATACCCTTATGCAGTGATTTACTAATCGATTTGTAAATTAAGCAATAGTTTTAAACAGATGAATTAATTGGATTCCACTCTCCTTTATGCATATTTACATGGAGTTTTTATAATATAACCCAAATTTTTTCTAAAAAACTAGGTAAATGAGTAAAAACACTTCAGTCTGTAAAATTAACAATTTTGGATAATTTCGACAGATGCAAAAAAAATTATGGCATTTAATTTTCTTATAGTTTTGTATCCCTATCAAAATTTTCAAGTCAAATGTAATAACAGGTGGATATTATCAAATATATTTAAAGTCAAATAGGTTTGTGCAACAGGTTTGTGCAACATAGATTTGTCCAATAGGTTGGTGCAACTTTTTGTAGTAATTTACTGACCGGTCTGTAAATTATGCAATAATTTCAAATTGATGTATTTTTCACATTCCATGATTCCTTTATGCATATTCGCATGGTATAATTATAATATGACCCCAATTTTTATTCTCAAAAATAAGAAAATAATATAAAACCCTTCAGGCTGTAAAATAAATGATTCTGGACAATGGCGACACATTTTTTTAAGTAAAATTTTGTTTTTTGATTTTCTTATAGTTCTTTGATCACAATGAAAAATTTCAAGTCAAAAGTAATAACGATTTAAAATTTATTCAAAAGTCAGTTTGACCCCAAAAATATATAAATTAGTAAAAATCCTTGGTCTGTAAAATACATGATTCTGGTCAAGCCTGACAGATTTTTATAAATTTTTTTTTAGATTTTTACTTCCTTATAGTTGGTTGGTCACTATAGAAAATTTCAAAAGTTATTTAAATGTCAATTATACTATCATTTTTGGTGCCATTTCGCAGCAAATTTATACTTAAGCGCTATACCTTTTGTCAAAAAATCACCCGTTTTTTCACAACAAAAAGTTCAATAACTTTTGATCCGCTTAACTTCAAAGGTCGAATGACCCCTCATTTTTTAAGTCAAACCAAGCTCTATACAATGGCATCAATTATATTTGAATATTTAAATTATAAAAAAATCATGCGGACATGATTTACCAATACTCCAATATTTTTCATCGAGCCGTAATCATGGGCAATTTGGTGGATTGAGTTTTTTTGCTACAAAATTAACTTTTCTCACTTATACCACTCCAAAGTTTTTTTAGCATAGTGACATAAAGCTAAGTCAGGCCAAAACAAACATGGTCTAGTGTGTAATGGAATGAGTGGCAAGTCCCTTTTGAAGGTACTCTTAAATATAAATTTCAGATGTCAAAATTGATGACGCCAAAAAACCTCTACTCTTTTTTTCCACAACCAAAAATTGTTTACCATAAGAGCATTTTTTTGTCATATTTGTCCACAAGTTTGTATTTATACTTGTTGCTTACACTTTCACTAGCAATTGAAGTCTAAAATTAGCCACGAAGAAGTTGACTAAAGTTGCATTTTATGTCCTACCTCCCATCAAAATGCAACCATTCAATTTTGTCAAAACTTGGGTGTAAAGTTTTCGTGTTTTGGCAGTGGAATTTTGTTTGTTAGAATGATTTAGGCATTTTATTGCTCAGAAAGACTTGTTACTTAGTTTTTCTTCACTTTCCTTATATATAGGAATATAAGTATAGATATTAGATATAGGAATTCTAGTAGCTTTAGAGACTCATTTATAGTTCCATGATGAATTTGCTTCATGAATGTGCAAGATTTTTTTCCAATTTTCAAATTGTTTCGATGACATTTTATTAAATTACATTTTGAATTTCTTTTTTTTTATGTTTTTGACAACTACTATCATTACTTGATTAAAATATTATTATTATTTTTTTTATAATGTGTTAGTAATTTATTTTGAAAGTGGTTTCATTTTTTTCAACCGCATGATTTAATCTGTTGTCTACCAATTTTTAATTTAATATAATTTAGACCTGTTTGATTAACATTTTTTGAGAGTATAATTCATATTTTAAAAATGTCTATGATAACAGTCAGGTCCTAATTTATAATTAAAACCAGGAATGATCACAAAATAGAATTGTATTTTGATTTAATTAATGTATTTTTAAATCAAAATCTAAACAAATGTTACCAATTGAACAAATATCACCAGGTAATAACTCTTCACTTGAGATAGTTCTCCATTTTCTATAACGATATACCTAAACAAAATGTTCATAAAAATAAACATAATAGGAATGAACAAAATTAAAAATAATAATATTAATAAAATTATTATTAGAAAATTATTAACAGCACTATTAATGTAGTAATAAAAATACACACATATATACATATCATAATACATATCATAATGCATATTTTATATTAGAGATTCTGTATTTGGCTACTTTTTTTTACTGTTTAGTATTTGGCCAAATATTGCAAACTATACGGCTGAATACCAGATTGTAACAAAAAAACAACATAAAATCAGATTTCATACAACTATTTTTTTATTTTTTTCATTTTAACAAATAATTAGTATATTTGATATTTAAAATATATCAGTAGTAAGTTATGATAAATATTTTTTAATCTTTTTGAATAGTTTGAAAATATTTTTATACATAACTATAGTAAAAACAATTTACTTAACAAATAATGTGTGCTGTGACACAACCAAGTCAAAAATGAAACAAAAATGCCCACAACATAGTAAACATATGCACTTTAATGAAGCAGGTCACCAAATATTTGGCAGCCAAATGCTTCATTGGAGCACCTAGCCGCATATATAT